ATCATTCCTTCTCTGGTAGCTGTGGAAAAAACATTTTAAATATTAATTTCTCAAATTTTCTTTTTCGTATACTTTTATTGACAGCGGCAACAAAAGCCTTTTTGTACATTAAAAATGCAGTAGCAGGGCAATATTCTTCAAGATTTGCATAAAAATTCTTTCGTAGACATAAATAAGCTTTTATATGGCGATTAAATCAATATATACGGTGCAGCCAACTGAGAAATTTATATTCAAAGATAAAAGGCATTAGAATAACGAACTGTACAAGATCATAGAATTGCATGTTGTCTGAGGATCATGTTTCAAACATGTTCGATTTTTTCGAGGGCACGCTAAATAATAAACTAAAATTCTACTACAGTGCATAAACTATTAGTATTAAAAGTAAGATTCTTGGTGGAGATTAGTCATCGCCATATTTTTTTCAGTTATAACGAAAATACCGTTCTAGCCCTTCGTGCAGGAATAACTTTAATTTAGATAAAACAGCTAGATTAGGGACGACTCGCATTTTCTGTCATACATCGGACATCGTTTTATATTTTTATTATTTTATTATTTTAATTTTATCTGTCCTTAATACTCGTCGGGGAGCCACAATGAGTCTTAAGAAAAGGTTCTGCCATCGATCAACTATTTATTTATTCTAAATTTAGTCTGCATTCATTCATCAGAATCAATTTTTAATATTCATAACTCTTTAGTATTTGTGTAATGAATATTTAAACATTTTATTACCCAAACAAAACTTTTTTTATTATTTATTTTTGTTATTTCCTCTGATTTTTGGTAACAACTAAAATAAGACATAAACAAAAAAATCTTCAATATATTATTTTTTAATTATTTGTTAGACTACACCACTATTAAGTTAAATGATATCGATCATCAATCAATTGGCTTTCTCAAGCTAAATTTAGTCTTCGCTGTTGAGAATCAATTTTTAATATTTATACCTGATTAATATTTTGTAGAAGAATGGATATTTTGTTAGCAGAAAAAAAAACTTTTGTTTTCTAGCTCATTTAAAAGAACGTTTTGCTAACTTGTAGCAAATAGTTGTACTTAATCTAATAGTTAAATTAACTAGCAAGGAGGTTTATGTTCTTCGTGCATGTTTCCGAAATTTGCCGTATTAGACATTTTACAACCATTTCAGTTATAGCTAAATCATAAAATTTTATAGGCCTATAAAACTGAGTAGCTTAATCAAACAGATTATTTACAATTAGGTTTCTTTGTTTACAAGTTTACTTATTTACTGAATTAAATTCAATTCGATAAAAAAACACGATAGAATAATGAACAGTCTCAAAAAAAGAATAATTTAGGTTTATTACAATTGAATCGATACATCATTTTTTTAAATTAAATTCAATTTATTATTAAAATTCATTAAGAATTAAATTCATTATTTTAAAAATAAAAAATCAATCTCCATTGTTTTTTTTTCTGAACTAAGTTTATTAATGTGCCATAATTTTTATAACTGCAAAATAAAACACTAATTTACCACAATACACCAAAACACTACTTATGCACGTGAGCGCGTTCCGCTAACCATGTTACCAAAGGTTCCAACCTTCAACTCTAATAATACCATATGATCGAATAAAAACGGCGTCAACGATGGCTATGAAATGAAGATCGCTGTCATTTTATATGTAAAATTATATGGGAAATGTCATCGATCGTCATTTCCAAGCCAACTGGACACCGTTTTTTTTTTCGATCATACGGTATTTACTTTATATTATGATACACAAATTTTGAAAATATATATTTTCTTACGTATTCATTTAAGCTTTTAGGGACCAATATATTTTCAAAGTACTATACATATATATAATACATAATAATTTTGCCGTTATGTTTACTAGTCTAGTTTTCTAAGAATCCTGAAGGAGTTAAAAATTCGAACCAGAATTAACAAATTAAATTTAATTTTTTATTAAAAAAGATATGACAGGCTTTATTACTGTTCTAAGCAACTTAAAAATGTGTAAAAATTACCCAAAAATAAATAGTTTTAGTTTAGTTTAGTTTGCAAATAAAAATTAACTTTTAACCTTTTAATTAGTTACGAACGACAGTAAAAGAAGAAAATTTAAGCTATCATAGTCTTATGAGTACTTCGAAAAGAAAATAAATAAAACAAAACTATTTTGTCTTCAAAGCATCTCACTGTATATAGTCATATAATAGGATGTTTCAAGTTAGACTATCGATCCCACATCCATTTTGTTTACTTGAGTATTTTCTAGTGTCGTATCATAGCCTTGGTCCTTCTCAAGTCTTGAATAACAAGCTCTAGTTTATCTTATTTCTGATATAAAGCTCCTAGCTTGTTAAGGAAATATTGTGGTACTTTCAGATATGCATAAAAATAATAATCTTGTTAAATATTTGCATTTTTTCTTAAACAAACTTTTAAATTTCTTTTTTTTAGTCGTAATATTTCTGACCTTTTAATTCTTTGTTCTTTTGTCTCAACTCAGTGGGAAAAAATAAACATTGAAATCCTATTTTAGTCTGACGTAGAAAAATAACACATTCATCATCACCCATGTAATGGGTGACGTATTCGTGACGTCAGGGACCGTATAAAACGATTTTTATATTTATTTAGATGCTTTATGCGTTAGGAAACTATGGGGGTTGATTTTGTGCTATTCTAAATAGGTTTATTTCATACTATTTTATTTAGAATATTGTATTATAAATCGATCTCGTAAAATATTATTAAAGAGAAAAAATAATCAAAAATCATTTTACTTGAAGCGTTCGACAGGAAGCATCAGGAAGATTCAAATAAATTTCGACTTTTCTGATATTTGAGGCGACATTTCCACGGCTGTGCAGGATGATAAAAAGTAATTTTCTTGTCACGGAGTGAAAACAAAAAAAACAGATGCCATTATTCCATTTTTTTGTCCCACCTAACTAAAAATCGTTAGTGTGGCAGGATTTTCTCCCATAAAACTGCATTTTCAGTTTTAAGTTAAATTAGTTTTGTTTCATATTGCCATGCTCCCCGTTTTATATTCGGATTTTTTGCACATTGTAATAAAAACTGCGCTTTTTACGTACCTATAATATAAAACGTGTAGACCGGTATAAAATAAGAATGTCTATTAAATCCTCTGATAAAGCTTCAACGAGCTTCTTACATAAAAAATGTGAATATTAAAGGATTTATTAATGAATGAATAGTGCATTGTGGATATAAATTGCTCATTTAATTGGCCTCAGGCTGTATACTGAAATTTAATAGGATGGAGTTAAATAGATAATCCTCAAAATACCGGTAAAACAGCCCTTGGCATTTTCAAAGCCCTTTTAGTTTTGTTTTATCTTATTTTTGGACCGACAGAGTTCTATAATTTAATTAATACTGAAAATATTCTAGCAGTAGCTATGGAAAATAAATGTTTATATTTCCATACAATTTTTTTTAATTTAAATTTGTATTTTTTAATATAATTTTTGTTTCAAACATCCTAAAAAATGATAAAAGGGAATCATATCGTCTTTTTAGTTGAAACTTTTATAATTGGGTTTCTCTATAAAACTTTAAAACGTTTGAGCAGTTTGAAAATCTGTATATTACTTATTACTTATACAAAGTTCGTGGTTGGATTTCTTTGGAAACTTTGAAATTTTTGATAGTCTTTGAATTTTTACGAAGTACGTAGTTCTTAATTAGATTTTCTATTTTTAGTTCCAGGAGTGTACTTATATAGAACTTGCCCTTTAGGCCAATATTGCACGTAATATTTTTCGAGAAAAGGTATAGGGTTAGATTATTATAGCTATTATTTTTTAACTATTACAATTTTAATTTCCTCTAATCAAAATATGTATAGCCATAAGATACCAAATTTATAATTTGAATAATTTACTAATATTTTTTTTCTTTATAATTATATACGGTTACAATACCAGTGTATATACAGGATGAGTCTTAAATAAGCGCATGCTTTTAGAGGTGGTATATTTCGATCCCATGAACGTCTATGAGATTTTCGCAAAAAATGTTGAAAATTTTGTATTTTACCATTAATTTTTTAGATTGTTTTTTAAGTTTCAATTAAAAAAAATATTATCTTGAAGATACGGCAACGTATTAAAAATAATTGAGTAAAATGTCCAGTAGTTAAGACAGTATATTTTTTGCATACATTTTTAAAGTAAAGTAACAAATATTTTGGATTTAAATAATGGAAAATCTGTGTGAGTTTAAAAAAACTCACACTCGGTAATAATAATATAATAAGTAGTATTTTCGGTAGTTCTTATACTCCCTATATAATTTGGACATTTGTGTTTTCCAGGGATATTTTACTTAAGGGCAAAATTTAGAGGCTAATTGAGAAACTCTGTTTCAGGGGTTAATTTTGTTTAGTCCTAAAAAATATACAAACACCAGTTTAATTACAGGAATTGGAAAAACATCAACAGACTATCAAAGCATTGACTCTAATGATTTTTATATTATCTCTTTTTTATAATGTATATATTTATTTACTTTGTAGTTCGAAAAGTAGTCGATATAGTACACATTTAACTACAATAAAACATGGTAAGCTTCAATATCGACTATGATTTAAGTTAAGTTTTAGTTAAATATAAAAAAGTTTAATTTTATATTAACATAGTTTTGTACTCGTATGTTAATGCAGTTTAAAAATTTGAATGTTTACATTCTTGCAGTAACAAATGTTATTAGTCCTTAGATCATAGTTTGAAAATGCATGTTTCTTTGTGTTGTGCGGTACAACAATTATAATCTGGCGACACAAATAATTGCAGATTTATGGGTAATAAATAATGTTAGTGAAATATGAGGTTATAAAACTGCGCGAAAGTGGTGGGGATAGGCCCATTGAAGTTGACACGTGACCACTTGGAAAAAGTTTTCCAAGTTGTCAACTGGCTCCGGGGTGTAGTTGACGCGACTATTTTCGTAAAAACAGGGAAAAATACATGGAATTTACCTTTATTCATGATGTTTGTTACTGTTAAGTGCGGGGGTTCCCCTGCCGAGGCGGTCGACTGGCACTGCAAAGGATCGCAACATGTCAGAAAGTTGTCATGTTCGGGCGAGAAAAAAATAGCACGGGCGTTGAAGAAAGAAGACGATTTTTTTGTCGGCCGCGAAAATTGAACCGCTCTGTTACCGAATCCACGACTAGACTACACACGCTCGTAGTTCCGACGCCGGTATACGGCACCGCGACGCCTTTTGCGCCGCCTCAATTGCGATGCCAGTGCCGTAGGACTCCCTCAGGATCAGGACGTTGCACTGGATAATTCCATTATCCCGCGGGCCAACCGGAATTTCCACTTTTTGTTTGTTCCTCTCCGAAGATCTTCGTCTAAGGGTGTCGACGAAAGCCACCAAAAGGACTATCCTAACTTTATGGGGAGCGCAAGAGATTCTTCTTTAATCCAGACTCGGTTTTCGCCGTGTGTTTCTTTGGTAGATCAGTTACAACAGTGTTTAACAATCTTTGGTAACAAAGTGCACAATGGCATTATCATAATACTTCTTCAGGATCAGAACGTTACACTGGATACTTCCATTTTCCCGCAGATTAACCGGAATTTCCACTTTTGTTAATTCCTCACCGAAAACCTTCATCTACGGGTGTCGACAAAAGGAATTTCCACTTTTTGCTTGTTCCTTGCCGAAAATATTCTACGGGTGTGAATAAAAGCCACCAAAAGGACTATTCTAACTTTATTGACAGTGAAATCCATTTTCCTTCAATCACGACTCTGTTTTCGCTATGTGTTTCTTTGGTAGATCCCTTACAACAGTGTGTAACAACCTTTGGTAAAAAAGTGCACAATGGCATTATCATAGTATATCTTCAGGATCAGAACGTTACACTGGATAATTCCGATTTCACGCAGATTAACCGGAATTTCCACTTTTTGCTTGTTCCTCGCTGAAAATATTCAGCTCCGGGTGTGGATAAAAGCCACCAAAAGGACTCTCCTAACTTTATTGACAGCGAAAGAGATTCTACTTCAATCAAGACTCGGTTTTCTCCGTGTGTTTCTTTGGTCGATCAGTTACAACAGTGTATAACAACCTTTGGTAAAAAAGTGCAGAAAAAGTTTTACGGCATTGTCATAGTACATCTTCAGGATCAGAACGTTACACTGGATAATTCCAATTTCCCACAGATTAACCGGAATTTCTCCTTTTTGTTTGTTCCTCGCCGAAAATCTTTATCTACGGGTGTCGATAAATGCCACTAAAAGGACTATCCTAACTTTATTGACAGCGAAAGAGAGTCTTCTTCAATGAAGACTCGGTTTTCGCCATGTGTTTCTTTAGTCGATCAGTTACAACAGTGTGTAATCAGTGTGTATCATAGTACATCTTCAGGATCAGAAGGTTACACTGGATAATTCCAATTTCCCGCAGATTAACCGGAATTTCCACTTTTTGCTTGTTCCTCGCCGAAAATATTCATCTACGGGTGTGAATAAAAGCCACCAAAAGGACTATCCCTAACTTTATTGACAGCGAAAGAGATTCTTCTTAAATGCAGACTCAAGATGTTAACCTTTGGCAACACTGTGCGCGGTAACATTATCATAAGACCTTTTCAGGATCAGGATAATATGTCTATTTTCCCACATATTTACCGAAATTTTAACTTTTATTTGTTCCTCTCCAAAGATCTTCTTGCCAATAGGTCTCGTTAAATGCGACAAACAAGACTATCCTAACTTTATTGAGAGTTTCGTGAAAAAAATTCGCCGTAGTTGCTGGGAAACAGCTTGATCTCCAAAATTCCTTAGTGAAATATTTCAAAAGAAAAATATTGTTTTTCCAGCTACTACTTTGCTTCCTAGTAAAGTCTTTGTATAACTAAACTAACAACGGTGTAACAACTTGAATAACTAAAAGGAACAAAGCATGTGATGTATTATCATTTTAAATTAGTTGCCAGTTACCAATATCTTTGGAAGGAAATTTTCACGTAGAAACTTGAATAAATCGTATGTAAATATAGGCAGAGTATGTGATGTAAATTTCTTAAAACTACTTTAAGACAGATTAAACTTACAACATGAAACTTACCAGGGAAATATTGCTGATCTCCAAGAAATGTGTCAGCTGTTTTAAACTTCAAAGCTCATACATACATACAGTAAAATAAGTTTCTGAGTATGTGGGTATATCAGAAAATACATAACTGTATACATATGCCATAGTTGTGTATTTTAAAAATTAATATTTGGAAGCTCTAATAAAATTAAATAAAAGACACTGAATCTTTAGAATATTGATTTAGTTTAGAAGGTGCTAATATAGCTAAGCTGTGTAATTTATTTTAAAATCTAATCCTTACAATGGTTGTTGATCAGGCAAAAAGCCTGTTATGCTGTTAAAGCCCTTCTGGCATTTTCCTAAGCCCGGCTAGACAGAAAACTTATTGCATTTCTGATTTCGTCCAATTACCAGTGCAACGATTCCAAGTTTTGTGTCTAGCAACAAGGAAATATCCTTTTTTCATTCTCGCTTGATAAAAAATCTTATTTTAAAATTTAATCTAGAATGTCCTGGCTATGTTAAAAACACTAATTCTCTTAATCAAGGAACCTTGGAAAAATAGATTTGATCGTCTAATGCTTTTAATGTCTAGTCCTGGCCAGTTAGAAAATGCTCAAATCGTATCATATCTCAATTTTTTCAAATGGAACGAGGGTGGCTCATTAGCATATTTGGAAAAAGCATTTTTTTACAATTAATTTGATACCACACACTTGGTATTTCAAGTCAAATTTTCGTTATGAACCGCAAGTTATAATTTCAAAGAAACCATATGCGAAAATGTTAACAGTTGACATATTATATGTCATTCTATTCAGAGTGTTATTTTGTATCGAATAAAGTAAAAAAATACCGAGGGGCCATTTAAAAATCAAAAGTTGTAGGTGAAACAGGAAGTGACCAAAAACAATTGAATACGTCAATCAATCCTAATTTATGTCATATACTAACATACCAAATCTCGTTTATTTTTATCTAAAAAAAATAAAAAAGTTATAGGGGTTTGGTTTGGTTTGGTTGTGAGCCACTTTTGAGACGCACCCGGTATAACAAACGTTTATGCATATTTAAGCATTTTTTTTAAACTCAAGATTAAAATTCAGGTTTGTTTGATACATTATACAGGATACGTCTTAAATAAGTGCAAATATTTTTAGGGGTAGTATATTACAATCTCAGAAACACGACAATGAGTTTTTTTCGCAAAAAAAAAAATTAAAAATTGAAAATTTTTTAATATTTTCAAAAATTTTAAATAAATAAACATATCTTCATAATATGGCAACATAGGTAGTAGATTAAATTTACAAGAAAGAAAACCCAGAAAAAATACAGTGGTTCTCAAAATTTTACCAAAAAATATTTTTTTTCTTAAATTTTCGTGATTTGACAAACGACAAAGAGAAAATATGTTTGTTTTATCTATATCTATCAGCCGTGATAATATTTGCACTTATTTAAGACTCGTCCTGTATAATAATAAGATTTTCAAAATTATTGTCATTAAATTCATGGTAGTACTCGTGTTAATATTAAAGAACTAGACAAAAAATCGTAAGTTTATGATTCATATAGAATAAAAATATGATAAAAAGTTCATTAAATTTTAGGATAATTATGAATTTATGCAGTTTAATTTTTGCAATTAAAGTCAATTTAAACGAAAATTCAAATAAAATACATATCCTAGAAAAACACCCCTGCACTATTCACCCTGAGCATATAGCAATGAAATAGAATTCGTTTAATTTAATATAAAGTCTATACAGGGTATCCCTTGAATAGGTGCAACTATGTTAAGGGTACTGTAATTTCAACCCTAGAAATATATCTAATAGTTTTTTCCCAGAACAAAAATAGTTATTTTAGAAAACTTTTTAGAAAACATGGTTATTGATAAGATAATTAAAAATGTAGATCATGTACGAAGTTGTAAAATTGCAAGCCCTTACATATTGCAGTAACCGAGGAAATATTCTGAGAAAATTTTATTTAAACTTGCAGTTCTATAAAGTTTTCTAAAAAATACAAGAAATTTTAAAGAAATACAAATTCAATATTCTACACTCTGATCTATGAGTGTATATACTATAATTGTTTATTAATATTTATACGAAAATATAGGTTTCTTATCAAACTGTTCTCCTCTTCGTAAAAGTAGACTTCTTCTTCTTTGAGTCTATTCATCAAACTTTTTCATAAAAATGCTAATACGGATTACAATATTTAGAGTTTCCACAAGACAAATACAAATAAGTTCGCCTCTCATACCTCCGCTTTATTTGTTTTACTACCTCCACCTTATTTTCCCTTTTATTTTTGATGTTTACTAAATATCGTAACACTCAAAACTCGAATGTTTTGCTTTTTCATCGTTAAATTTTAAACTCATTTTTGTTAAAAATTATAATTAAATATATACGGCATTTGTTGTTTGTCACTGGATGCTCAAAAAGCGTAAAATTAAATTGTTAATGCTTTATAGCTCATAGACTGCCGCAATTACGCTTATGACGCGTCAAAAATTTTATTATAAAAATATATTTTTCACGCCAATAAATTTTATCTTCGATAGGATAAAAAGCTTGAATTATTTTGATTTTCTTTTAAATTTTCAGAAATATATGTATGAGACATATTACATAGATTCCATTAGATACGTATTAAGTTTGAGTATAAAATATTAAAATTGAACAAATTGATCCTTTCAATAGTGGATCGATAGAAATAAAGACACTCACTACAATCCAGGTTAGTAGCGTTCTATGTCAAGGAAGAATTTAACGTATTTTCTATGAAATAAATATAAATACTGAGCTTATTTTTAACTTTAATCGATTTCACTTTTTCCTTCATAATTTTCAGGATTTTTAATTGCATTTTTTTCTAGATTAATTATGATATTTCAGAGATTTTAATATTTAAGCTCGATAACTGATGCTTATTAAAAACCAGATTTTCCAATAAAATATCTCAATTTTATTAATTATCAACTATAATTAATTTCTTATATATTATCAATTATTATTAATTTTTCGGGGTAAAACATAGATAAAAAATATCTTTCATTTACAATTGGCAATGAAAAAAAATATATATTTTAAGTTACAAAATCGCCCTGTACATGATACTATACTATTAGTTTTTAGCCATTACTTCTATGATTTAAATATTTAAATATATATAAAAATACATTTCTTCAACTGACATATTTGCTATGTAATTTGATATCTGAAAATAAATTGAAGGCCAACATTTAATAATTCTATATATCATAACGAAATTAGAATTATACACACTACGTAAAAGAATTAAATGCAGCATGCAATCTATCACCCTAGAGAAATTACTCTAATCGTTCTTGAAATAAAACCCTGTTGTAATGACAATGACCTTTTTTTAAGATATACCTATTTACGGCAGATGATAGACAGAAGTTACAGTAGAATTTATTTTTTCATATGTAAAAGAGATAATTTAGCTTTAGAACGGATTTGGGGTATGTTTAGGGTTGTCTGAAAACTGAAAAGATAATATGGACAGATAGTGTTATAACTGTCATCTAGTAGTATTACTGGTTGCGTGATTTTGAGGGCAACAAACATAAAGTCAACGTTATCATGTCATTCGTTATCCAGTCGCAAAAAGAAGCTCATATTGGACTGTGATATTGGATTCTGTGATTGGATTGACAATACAGTTGAGGGTTGGAATCTTTGGTGTTGAACCAAACCAACAACAGAATACAACACTAAATAAAATGACCACAATACATCAAAACACTATTTTTGCACTGGACACGCGTCTCGCTAATCATTAAAACTCAAAAACAGTTTTAATCATCTGTTGATGATGCTAACATAGTTACGAAAATGCGCGTCCAGTGCAAAAGTAGAGCGTTTTGGTGTATTATTGTGAATTAGTGTTTTATTTTGCTAATGGATTGACAAATCAAATTTTTTAGTTTATCAGAAACAAAAATCGTTTATCAAAAAACCTTTTAGTTTATCAGAAAATGACTCATCTTAACATCAGTTTCGACATTTTTTATTAATTCGGTAATCAAAATCCTGCAAATGGAATACTTTTTGGAGTATTTGTATTTTATATATATTTTTTGTGAATAATCATTAAATGTGAACGTGTGAGCATTATAGGTGTTGGAGGGCATTCGAAATGCCTCAGTGCAATGTAACGTATATTATATAATGTATCATATATAAAAGGGAGACTGAAGAAATACTGGCGAACGGATAGGTATACTTATGGTGGAAAATCTTTAAAACAGTTTATACCATGATTAGAGGTATTATAATGGCTGTAATAATCTTACGGATAATGCAACTCAGTACAGAAAGAATTATATAAATATACGATTCGCGTAGTATTCTCATTCATGTATTTTACATTTTTTCATTGGTGTATTTATAAATATTGCCCTTTACTTTGTGTCAGAAATTTTTTTTATTAAATGTTTCAGTTCTATATAAATACCATTTATTACAGCATTACTTTGACCCACTTTTTATTATTTTAACCTACTGTGCATATTTATAATAAAATTATTGTTAACAAAGATTGCTATGATTTTTGCTACATGAAATACTTCTTTCTTATTGGTCAAGCATATGTCATGATAACTTCCGGAAATTGATGTCGCCCATGTTCATTTTTAATGCCGAGGGATCTTTATCTCTTTATCGCCGGCATTTAAAATTTTGTGATTTCTTAATAAAAAGTGAGTTTTGTGTACACTATTTCTTCATAAATTCTTGTTTGTGCATCGATCAGCCTCTCTAAAAAGTGGGTGCTCGATATTTGCCTTATATCTCATTATATGTTGATTAACATTTTTTATAATCTTCTAACCGTTATGGCGTCTTCGCCTATCTCGTCTTAATTATATTTTCAATTCTCGGTTGTATAATCTATTATGTAATGGCGAGCTAAAGTTTTTTAAATGTTTCTGAATTTTATAAAGAAAAGAACAATTACGGTTAATAATTTTAATATGTAAACGTATACTAATGCAGTATCCTAAAAGGTCTTATTATCACTTTGAAATTGTTCTGAAGTTCCAAAATTAAATATCTCCCATGTTGTTTAATGTTTATTGAAAACGTTTATATTATGTAATAACTTTAACATTCTACTTCTTTTTAACATTCTAGTCGAAAAAATTCTACATTCTACATTTTTTGTCGCCTGGCTGCTTAATTTTTGTGTTTTTTTATAATAAAATGCTTGTTTTGATGTACCTACACTGTTTTTGGAAAATTCTTGTTTGTATGTCCTTCAGTCTCTTTAAAATGTGTGTACGTTCTTGATTTCAATTTTTATTTTTTATTGTCGAATCGTTATGGAGTCTAATTAATATTTAGGGATATACCTATAGGGTGATTTTTATCTAGGTAGTTTTTATTTTTCGATATGAAATATGTTATGTAGTTTTCTTAATACCTCATCTTATCTATTAAATATTTTTACTTATATCTTTATAAATAACATTGATTATGTTTTTTTTTGTACTTGTATGGCGATATAACAGTATAAATAAAGTATAATACCGATATTTTTGATACGAGATTTTTTTGGAATTTTTGATTGTGATAAGGTTATCTTTTATGAATTTGAGACCTTACAGTGTTTTTTCATTTCTTTTTAGACGAGATTTAATATCACACATCAGCACACTGCTGCCCAGCTACCGAACCGCCAGGGATCTTACTAATTATGCTCGATGGCAGATGAAATTTACGTAAGGTGGTGTCCCGACGGATTGGATCAAAGGGTGACGCTCCAAAGCACGACGCTGCCTTCTTCCGAAAAGGAGACCTGGAATATCTCCCGAACTTTCATGAAATTGAGATGATGGAAGGATTGAATAAATATGTGTTTAAACTAAGTGTTTAAAACAGTGGAAATATTTGGAACATTTATAAGGTAGCTTTTAAACAACTTACTAGTATGCAGATACTTATTTAGATTTTTTTTCAGTTGAATTGCTGATCAATATGGTTAAGTCTGGCGGGAAGGTTTAATCTTTTTGAGAAGACATGCAGACATTTTACGAGCGGTCAATACTGTGCTCAATATGAGGAAGCACTTTTCTTCAGATGAATATTCTTTCTATAAATGTAAGTTTAATTGATTTCTAATTGTTTGATACTCATTACTGTTGCTATTATTATTTTGGTTAAGTAAATTTTATTTGGATTTTTTTTCAGGGAATATATTGTATTCTAAACTTTCTTGGTTGGCCTCTATCATGCTTTAGATGATATTACGTCTTAGTATTTCAGTAGATTGTCCAACTTGTGAAGCAATCTAAAAAAATGAAGCAATAAAAATTAATCTGGAATTTGTTTCTAAAAAATGTAAGTTCAAATTTAATCTTCTGTAAAAATTATATTGATTAGATTTAGATAATTTGAATATTATTTTAGTATTTATAATTCCATCTACTACTAACCGTTTTATTTAAATCATATGCAAAATAAAACACTAATTTACCACAAGACACTTTACTTTTGCAATGGACTAACGAACTGGTTAACGAAACGCGCGTCCAGTGCCAAAGTAAAGTATTTTGGTGTATTGTGGTGAATTAGTGTTTTAATTTGCTGTTGTACACCAAAGGTTCCAACCTCCAACTGTAATAAATAATATATGTTATGAATAAAGCTGGAAATTAATTATATCTTTTATTTTAGGAAATACTGCATTATGGGTTATGGTCTAAATAGTTCTCTCATTTCACGATGTAACAACAGTAACACACTTAAAATAGATTGTCTGAGCCTGAAACAATCTGGAAGTGGCAACTTTGTGTAAGAAATGTAAGTTGATAATTTTATTTAACTTTTTAACACCATAGCCAAACCAAACCAATAACTTTTTAACACCAATCCTGATTTGGACAGTTTAATGATTGTATCATTATGTTTAATTTAAGTTGTTCTTTAATTATTTTTTTAAACATGTTATAGTGTTATAGAAAGGCAATATTTATTTATTTATTTTATTTTAAGGAATACTACAATAACATATAATATCTAACACTGGCTGGAAACTCCCGTATTATGTTGATGGAACAGCAGCAGTAGATTATCTTGACTTTTTCACAAATCTTGTAATTGATACAGCTACCAGGATTCTTAAAAGTAAAAAATATTTTTAATTTTATACTAAAGGCTGATTTACACGTATCCAGTACGCTGGTTCACTGGTACGTCAGCACCGGCGTTACAGTAAAATGCAGTAAAACTGGCTCCCGCAACTGCATGGATACGTGTAATTCAGCTTTTATATTTATGAGAAGTATAATAAACTAGGACAAAAAACATATAATATGCATAATGAAAAAATAAAAAAAATGCATCTGCCATTTTACTTGAATATATTATAGAACTTGTTACTTATAGTATTTTTACTTGTAGGTATTTATTTTGCTGCTTCTGACTGTTGCTTCCATCCTACTCCTACTCGTCTTCAACAGGATTTAGCAAAAATTGGTCTTGCTCCTTCACCATACACCAAAATGTCGCTTCTGAATATTATGCGTATAATAGGCATCTATTTTTATTCTGGTTTGTTGTAAAACTTTGATAATCTGAATATGACGTTAAAAATGTGTACTGTACTACAGAAAAAGTTATATAGCTTATAATTTATCTGTTATTTCTAAAATCATGCTTTGAATTTTATTTAAAACGTTGATGTATGCTGCTTGGTATTGTCTTCAAATATTTTTTGTATAATGGGTAAACCAATTTTCTATAAATGGGGGTTTGTATTTTTTATTGTTATTATTTTTTTAATTAAAAATCTAATTTTTTATTAATCTTTAGAATTTTTTTAGTAATATTTCATAAGATAAAAAATATTTGTTTGGTTAAATAATGCACGACTTTACAATAATTTTTAGCTATATAACTATATAATATTAGCTATACATATAATATAAACAAGGATATAATATAATATTTTTTTTTAAATTGGTTCTAATTAAGAACCCATAGAATTTCCAGATTATCACAGTTTTTTGGTATATATTACTTGCGCAAAAGCAGGCTATAATGTAGCAATATGAATACATTATTTTTAAGGTTTTTAAAATTGTATTATAAATTGGTTAGATATATTTAGGGCATAACAGATTTTTTATTTAATTTCTTAGTTCCCCTTGGGATACAAAGACTAATTTTAAGTTTTAATTAAGAATCATTTTTCATTAAAAACGTTCTTATTTTTTATTAAAACAACTAATTTAACTAACTAAATTATTATCTAATTACATTTACTCAGTTTATTTAGTTGGTTTTAAAGCCAATGTTCTGTTTAATAAATTATATTTTGTAATATTTGTATTCATAAAGCTACTTTTTTAAAATTAAAATAAGCACTCTAGATGTTTTTAATCGTTTATCATAAGCTGGTTCGGGGTAAACTTTCAATAAAAGACCATATTATATTAACATCTAATTAACTAACGAAGGTAATTTAAATTTTAAGTATATATTTATACGTAATAATAAATTTTAAATAGTATTATTAAAAAATACTGTTCAAAATTTATTATTACGTATTTTTTAGAAAGGTATATTTAATAATTTAAGTTTCATTAGTTAATTATTTTGTTAATGAAATATAGAGTCTATTATAGTTATAACTATGGAGGGCTAAAAATAACACAGAACAGATACAAATTTGTATCTGTTTTGTGGTTATAACGTCGAAAAACTAGTGGGTATGCAACCAAAGATACATCAATGGTGCAATTCTGTATGCCCATACACTTTACTTTTTATATGTATTTATATTCGTTTTATTTTATTAAAAACGATTAAATTCAACTGGAGCACTTATATTTGTTAAGTAAAATCCATGCTAATTTACTTTATTACTACAAAAACACTACTTTTATTCTTGTATTATTGCAACTTTTATATTTTCATATCTCTTTGTATTGGTTTATTTTTTTAGGTCAGTACAGTTATACAATTTATAGCTGATAATTAAAGTAATTAAATGCAGTAATAGATAAATAAAATTATATTTTAACATATGTAGGAATGGCACACTTAAGCCAATTAAATTTTATTTCGGTAAAACAATATGAGCAATATGAATACATTTAATTATCTCTCAATACACATTTTAATGTTTTTTTCAGTATACACTGCATTGCTTTTAGAGATTTAGTATACATTATACAGTGCATTTATTTTAGAAATTTTTATACATATTTTGTGGAAAACCCATTATTCATTATTAGGTCCATACCAAGTGGGCATTGACTTTTAGGTAGTAAAGGGTAGTAGCAAAGCATTATTGTACGCTCTAGAAGAGTCTCCTCTCGCATCAAAGCCGGGTCTGTGGCAGCCTCATAGACAAACTCGATTTTGATGCGAGACGAAAGTTCTATAACGTATATATAATATTGTTTCATTCTAGTTACGAAAATTCTGCCGCAATTCTTATAATAATAATTTTACTATTCTGTAAGCACACTTAATCATAGAATTTTTTGGCAGTGAAAAGGGCTATTCGGACGAAGTGTTATTGTAATTAAATTGTTTGATTTTTAAAAATTATAACTGTTGGAGTAGTTAAAGGACTACTAGAGCTACAATTTAAAATTATTTTCAGAAGATACAGTGTTCCAAATTAATAAAAAATACTAAAGCTGTATTTTTATATGGACCATTCTGTATATTATTATGTTTTTAGGTTCTACGGTTAAAATATAGGTAGAATGTAAAATGTATAGGACTGGGATTAATCACGGCGACTTTACAGATCTATTGTGACATTTACCTTTAGGAAAATTTGATTGAGGTGTAGCTCACTACTTCTTCGTATTTCTAAGCGCATTTAAGTTTTTTAAGAAAAACCAGAATTTTTTTCATTTATTTGGTACACTGTGTTCCTTATGAAATTAATAAATTGATCGACTTACCTGAAAGGAAGATCAATTGTAATTTTCTGAGCTTTTCTTCCGAAGATCCGCAGGAACGATCAGCGATACTACGTTGTGTAATTATTGAGGAAGAAAAGCGAAGGAAAATTAATTTTTAGCTATAGTAGTACTTCAACAACTATTCATAATTTACAATTCTAACAACGTTAACAAACAAATCATTTATCTACAAAACTCTGTCTCGAATAGCATGAATAAACGTCTGCCATGTGTATCAAGTTTCGAATTAAACTATTCTTATAGTTTGAGATATTTATTCTAATATATACAGGGTGAGTCTGATAAACAGGGTGATTCTAATATATACCGTAAGTGCAAATATTGTGAGGGGTGGTATATTTTGACCCCATAAACACGTTTATGAGGTTTTTTCGCGAAAAAAAATTCGAAAATTTGGAATTTTTTGAACATTATTTTGGAATTTGTTGGGGGGGGGGGGCAAATTTTTAGTTAAAAAACAGATTTTCATAATATAATAAATGCAAATATTTTTAGCGAGAGTATATTCGGCCTCAGAAACACGCTTATGAAGTCCTCTTGGCAATTTTTTTTTGACAATTTGAAATTTTTTGAAAAAAATTTTGGATTTTTTTTTGGATTTAAGTTAAATAACATAATTTCTTCATTATATAACAACATAGGTAGTAGATTAAATTTACAAGAAAGAAAACCCAGAAAAGATCCAGTGGTTCTCAAAAGAGAACAACGGTACAGACTACAAACACGTATAAACGTTTACGTACGCATGCGCATTTCTAATATTTTTTATTTTTTATACACGTAAAAGATTCTTTACGTTTACGTATACGTGCCAGCAGCGGCCGACTAGACCGTAGGCCGTTGTTCTCTAAAATTTAAGCAAAAAATCATCTTTTTGGGAATTTTCAAAGTAACTCAATTATTTTGGACTTATTTGAAATGCGGTAAAGAGAAAATATGTTTTTTTATCGAGCAGCCCTGAAAGTATTTGCACCTATTTAAGACTCGCTCTGTATATAATTTACACATACTGTAATGCCATTTTTCTTCAATCACAAGGTATTTTTTATACCATATGATCGAAAACAAATGGCGTCCAGTTGGCTGAAAAATGACGATCGATGACATTTCCCATATAAATATACATATAAAATGACAACGATCTTCATTTCATAGTCATCGCTGACGCCGATTTTTTTCGATCATATACGGTATTAAATCTGAAAAGTACTACGTACCTGAAGAGTTCTATAAATTCTGCCACAACTACTTACCTTTTTTACGCCATTTATAAGTCGATTTCAGCCTACTAATATCTTTTCCTTCTCAGTTGGCCTTGCCTACAGTAAATTTTCAAAAACTTATTTACAGTGCAAAACCTCTGGCTCTAGCGATCCAGAGAATAGGGCGGCATCGGCAGCATCGATAGAGTCCCATGAACCAGCAAGCTGTCACATACGTGTCATATACTTTGGATCGTTACTGTTATAGTCGCACTGCTGTACAATCCTTTTAGTTAGTATTCCACAGAATTTTGCGTAGTTGGCCTTATCCGCTACAGTTGTAGCGGGTAAGAAAAACTTCTTCTGGCTGCACCGAGCCTGGAACCAAAGCGGCGTTGGAGGAACTTCCATATGCCGCATTGTTTTTTTGTCGGTACAGCCATGGAAGTTGTGTTGCAGTTTGGCACACCCACACTCCTCTACGTGTGTGTTTAGTACACGGGTCTGTACGTGTACCACACGTGTACTAAACGCATATACGTACAGAAGTATGGGTGTGTTTACGACATATCCACACAGTAGTGTGCGTGTATAGTTCAACACATACTACTGTATGTATATGTGATCATACACCAACACAAGACTTCTTTATCCCCAATGTATAAAATATACACTGACCTAGACCAAAAAACCTAAATATAAAACTTCAACCTGACATCCTTTTTGTTAACTTAAAAAATAAAATAAATACATTTTGCAGACATTTGGTTGTTTTATTTTTTTAAAGTTCATCCTTTTGCCACTAGGGGTGCCACAGACGCTCACAGAAATTAATACGACTGTGGCGCCCTCTGGTGGCAAAAGGATGAAACTAAATTTTTAGTTCAATGTTTTGTCGGAAGAGGGCGCCACATATGCTGTTTTAATTCAGCCTGTAGCCACCAGAGGGCCCCTCACACGCGCCCTCTCGCGACAAAACACTGAACTAAAAATTTAGTTTCACCCTTTTGCCGCAAGAGGGCGCCACATAGTTCAGTCTTCAGCCACCAGAGGGCCCCACACACGCCCTCTCGCGACGAAACACTGAACTAAAAATTTAGTTTCAGCATTTTGCCGCAAGAGGGCGCCACCGTCGCTCAAAAATTTATTTTTGTGGCTCCCTCTGGTGGCAAAAGGGTGAAACTTACTTTTTAGTTCAATGTTTTGCCGCAAGAGGGCGGCACATTCGCAATTTTAGTTCAGCCTTTAGCCACCAGAGGGCGCTACGTACGCGCCCTCTCGCGACAAAACACTGAACAATAAATTTAGTTTCAGCCTTTTGCCGCAAGAGGGCGCCACTGTAGTATAACTTTTTATAATTATAAGAAATGAAAAACAGGATTCTATTTAACACAGATTTATTAAATATTAAAAAAATCAACAGGGGTTACATAACATTTTATATGTTAAATTACAAAAGCCTACTGTGTGTGTGTTATGGATGTTTTATGACACACAACACGCACAGAATAGTAGGTACTATTTATTATAATACCTACCTTCCGTGCGTGTTGTATAAGCATAATACACGCATACACACACTCGTCTGTGTTAATATATATATGTTACGGTTAAAGTCCGATGCCCGGTAAATGTCGACATTAACATGTTAATGTTTGGGTTAGGTTATGTTTTTGGTTGTTTTGTTGTGTGTTATTCTCGAGATTAACCGGGTAATGTCGACATTAACCGGACATCGGACCTTAACCGTAACATATATATATATATATATATATATATATATATATATATATATATATATATATATATATATATATATATATATATATATATATATATATATATATATATATATATATATATATTTTTTTTATACTTTGACCGTAACATACATTACACTTGGACGCTGTGCGCGTCTCACTTTGACCCCACTTGTTAATTAAAAAATTAAATGTTCCGTTCCAAACAGTGTCTAATGGTGCGATTTCCTAGCGACGTTTGGCGTCCTCGTCTCGCCGCACACTGGTTCGTCTTTATGAACGTACCTGGCCAAACCCGGTATTTTATTAAATCAATGAAAAGTAATGTATGACTTTATATGAGTAAACGAACCAGTGTGCGGCGAGACGCCGGCGCCAGACGTCGGGCATACAGAATTAAACCATTGTTGTTGGCTGCATATGCACTAGAGAAACAAATCCATCGACGTTATAACTAATAGACTCTATATTTTATTATCATAATAATTAATTAATGTAACTAAATTTATTAAATATACCTTTCTAAAAAATATCTATTAATGAATTTTAAACAGTATTTTTTATTAATACTATTTAAAATTTATTATTACTTAAAAATATATAACTAAAAAATTAAATTACCTATATACATTAGTTAATTATATGTTAATATGTGCTTATAATAATCAATTATAAACTTCTAGAGTTTAATTTTTAGAAGTAGCTCTATGAATACATTTACCACAAACTATAATTTATTAAACAGAACATTGGCGTTGTGAAACCGACTAAATAAACTGACTAAATGCATTAGATAATAATTTAGTTGTTTTAATAAAAAAAGTAATTTGTTAATGAAAACGTTGCAAAATAAAATTAGCCTTTTTTGAACTGTAATTATTAATTTTCTAGAAAAAAAATCTGCTATATACAATATATCTAACCAATTTATAGAAACAGTTGAAAGCAAAATGAACTGTCAATTGCAAGAACATTACAAAGTTTTGATGTCCATTAAAAAAATTATGTATTCACATTGCCACATTATATAGTGACGCTTTTACGCAAGTAAAATATACCAAAGAACTGCGATAATCTGGAAATTCTATAGGTTGTTAACTAAAACTAATAAGAATTAAAAAAATATAACAGTTAGTATATTAGAAAATTACTTGTGTAAAAATATGATTGGCAGTAAATATTAACAACAGTAATTATATTAAGTATAAGGATACTAAAAAAAATTATATTATATAATAATAAAAAAAAATAAATTATATAATAATAAAATATGACTTTTTGATTAATTTCACTGATTTATTGGTATAACATTAATATAAGAGAATAAATTTATATAATAAATTATTCAAAGTGATCCTAATAGAAACCAACATAGGCAATTTGTTATTTAGTTATCTATTCTGTATTTCTGATTATTAATAATTCTAAGAACTGCGCGTTATGCAGAGAATTATATTTTATATTTGACTACCTTCAACAAAAATTAAACTTTTTAAGTATTTAACATCCAAAAACAATGATTATAGATAGTAGTCAATGTAAGCAATAATTACTGATTTTCTAGTTATAGCTATTAATACCGTATGATCGAATAAAAACGGCGTCAGCGATGGCTATGAAATGAAGATCGCTGTCATTTTATATGTAAAATTATATGGGAAATGTCATCGATTGTCATTTCCAAGCCAACTGAACGCCTTTTTTTTCGATCATACGGTATTATTGTAAAGTTGTGCATTATTTAAATAAACAAATATTTTTTTGGCATATTGAAATAACTAAACAAAATATTAATTATCGATAAGAGTAGATTTTTAATTAAAAAAAAAATAATTAACTTAATAAAAAATACAAGTAACCCTCATTTATAGAGAATCGAGATTACCACTATACAAAAAATATCTTTAGATACTATACAAGCAGCATTACGAACATTTTAAATGAAATTCAAAGCATGATTTTAGATATGATGGATAAATTATCATCTATATAATATTTTCTGCAGTTTAATGACATTTTTAAAGTCTAAAGTTTGTCCAGATTATCAAAGTTTTACAACAGTACCAAAATAAAAATAGACCTCTATAGACAAAATACACAAAACCAACCTTTTTATATATGGTGAAAGAGCAAGAGGATTTTTTGTTGAATCCTGTTGAAGATGAGGAGGAGCAAGAGGGCGGCAACAGAAGCAGCAAAAATAAATACCTGCATGAAAAAATACTATAAGTAACAAGTATTTCTATAAGATATTTAAGAACTGTAAAATCTAAATATATAAGATATTTAAATTTTATTACTAAAAGAATTTTTATAATACTGTAAAACTCTAAGGACAAAGGACAGCTTTCAAATACCGTAGAGATATAAAAATACTAAAACGTAGAGGGCAAAGACAGCCGCGATTTCTTTATTTTTTTTCATACTGCATACATCTTTTTCGTCTTTTATTATTGCCTTTCCGTGTTTTTTATTATATCTCTAGTAAATATAAAGGTTGCGGGGCGCTACTTTCACTGGTACGCCAACAATAGCATCAATATGGCACCGTGTAAATAAATATCTATATCACTGACATGAAGAAGTGTTTAATGGTGCCAATGTCATGGCAGTGGTACTGTTCCAGTGACACTTGCGCAAGCTACTGGATACGTAAAAATCAGTCTTAAGTATAAAATTTAAAATGTTTCTTACTTTTAAGGAGAATGCAGGTAGCTCTATCAATTTGTTCTGTTCAATCTGTTCCATTAACATATGGGAGGTTAACCGAGTCATAGAAATATGCAGAATATGTATTGTAATCATACTGTAATATACCCTAACATCAAATAAATTAATAAGTATTGGCTCTATTATACCCTAAAATGTTTTTCAAACAGTTAATAACAACTTAATTACAAAAATAAATGTAATCATACAAATCATTAAACTATTCACATAAGGCCAGTTATTTAGTGTTAAGAAAAATAAATAAAATTATAAACTTACATATGTAACAGAACGTTGCCTCTTCCAGATTGATTCATGAGATAGGACAAGCTATTTTTACAGCTGCTACATTGTAAGATATGAGAGGACAGACCAGTCTTTAGGCCATATTGCAATACTTCCTAAAATAAAAAAATAAATAAAATTTCTAGCTCATCATCGTTTAAATCGTATGATCGAAAAAAAAACGGCGTCCAGTTGGCTGGGAAATGAACATCGATGACATTTCCCATATAAATTTACATATAAAATGACAGCGCATTCCATAGCCATCGCTGACGCCGTTTTTTGTCGATCATACGGTATATGTTTTAAATGAAATTGGCAATAGTAGATAGAAACCAGAGTTTTATCGTATGCCTCACATACATAATAAAATAATATTCAAAATATCTAAATTTAATCAAGACAATTTTTCCAAAGATTAAATTTAAACTTACATATTTTTACAAGCAAATTCCTGATGCATTTTCTTCAAAATGTCAATAATAAAAAAGTTTATCCTCTTGTAAAGACAATCCGAGGACATACTGCATATACATAATAAAGAATTTGGATAATAAAAAAAGTTAGATTGGAAAATAAATTTTAGATCAATGAAATAATTTTGCAAAGCAATTTACCCCAACTCAATCAATTTATCAGTTACTTTACAGGGTGAGTCTTAAATAAGTGTAAATATTTTTAGGGGTAGTATATTTTGATCTGAGAAACACGTTCAATTGAATTTTATGGAAAAATTTTTGCAATAATTATTGTTCTTAGTTTTTAGTTTAAAAATATAAGTTCTTGATAATTTATCAACATAGATAGTAGATTAAATTTACAAAAAAGAAATTCCAGAAAAGATCCAGGTGGTTCTCAATATTTAAGCAAAAAATCATTTTTTTTTAATTTTCAAAGTAAAATAACACGGTTTTAGACTTATTTGAAAAACTCGAAAAGAACGAATATATTTCTTTTATCGAAATCTACACCAGCCCTGAAAATATTTGCACTTATTTAAGAATCACCCTATATAATTTCGGCAGATATTAAAGTTTTAAAGATATTAAAGTTAGTTTAAAATAATTATAATGCAAAGGCTTGTAAATTTTCATAAAATAGCATATTATATGAGTATTAACAAACAGAATAATAATATGGTCTTTTTTAGGATGTAATATTAGAATAATCACAAATAATAAGTATAAAATTTATTATAAACTTACCACCATATCCATATCCCTCCACCAGTATTTCTTCAGTTCTATTATGATGGTCAGTCCCATTAATAAAAGGCCAGGCATCAAGCTGCACTTGGGCATGCCGAATGCCCCAACTCCCTGGACATCGGACGATCCTCTGAACTTCGACCTTGCCTGGGAGTCTGGGAGAACCAGAAGAAGCTTTAAGACCAATCACACACGTCTTGTAATGTTTCATCTGGGATCTTCTTTGGCTTATACATGCCACAAGCTCGAATTAACCTAGAAAAATTAAAAAAATAATCAGTTTAGGATCTCGTAATAGAGAAAAATAAAATAAATTTACTTTGGTTGGTTTCTGGCTGAGCTGGGGTATGCTAGCCTCTCTATCACGAATCACTACCCATAAAAAAAGCAAATCACGTCGCGTCCGAAGTGTGGTTGCTCTGTTCTAAAGATTTGACCCATTACGATAATTGTGCCTCAGCAGTCACTCTTAATCCCAAATTAAACAGCCTCATTTGAGATATTTTTTTAATTTCCTATCCTATCGAACGACCTACCATCGGGACCCCCTACGGCCTCACCCCCTTCCTCATCATCAAATGTGTCCGTATCCCGTCCCCTACGCCCTCGAGGTGCCACGCAATACGTGCACGATAAGTCTCGTAGCTTGGGGTGGCTTGGGCATATGCTTGGGTGCCAGCAGTGCCAGGTCGTATCCGGCCGAAACTTCTAGCATTACAAGGGATCTCCATTAGAACACCCAGCTCATACAAAATTACAGGTCTCCTCTTCGGAAGAAGGAAGCGTCGCATTCTGGAGCGTCACCCTTTGCATGTAATCCGTCGGGACACCATCGGCAAAATTTTCTTATGTAAATTTCATTAACTGTCCTCGAGTTAATTAATAATATCCCTGCCGGTTCGGCCGCTAGGCGACAGTGTATGGAGTATGGTAGTATTAAATCGCGTCTGAAAAGAAAAGAAAAAATGTAAAAATAAAAAGAGAAAAATAAAATTCACTAAAGATAGTTTACATATCCCACATAAATGCCATAAAATATCGAATCAAAAAATGTGTTTATTATTAAATTAAGATTTTTTGATAGGTATTATTTTATTTATACTGTTATAGTCGTATCATATATACATATAGTACTAGCGTGTACCAGCGACTTCGTTCGCGTCGAATTAATCGTTTGTAATGGTGATGATAAAGCAAAGCAAGAATTTCCATTAACATACAAACTGGATAATATTTTTATACATTTTTAGACATTTATGTTAGACATTTATGTCAGCATGAGAAAAAACAATATGGCGATATTATTATATAACTTGGTAATATTTGAGGGGTAGTTTAATCTAGTTGGAATTTGACTTTCGAAAAATCCGTTTGCCAAAAATAAACTTTTTACGTCAAGCAGTTTAACCAGAATCGCGGTTAAGAAATTACCCAACTTTTTGGAATACCCTGTATGATTTTTTTAAAAAATTCAAAATATGTAAAAAACCAAATAAATTATGCTTGTCCAAGCGTTTTCCCGAAAGACTAACCTTTTTTTAAATAACAAATATTGTAATATTTCAGGGGCGTATTCACCATCTTGGAATTTGAGATTCGAGAAACCCCTCCTTATCGAACCTCTACACCCAACAGTCAATCCGTTTGCTAAAAATCAGCTTTAAACGTCAAGCAGTTTAAGCAGAATCGTGATTACTCATTGGTCATATTTTATGAAACACCCTGTATAAATTTGTAAAAAATCTTAATTAAATCTTAAAATATGTGTTTAAGAGTTTTTCCGAAAAACTCACCGGTTTTTAAATAAAAAATATTTTAATATTTGAGGGATAGTTTCACCCCCTTAGAATTCGAGTTTCGAAAAATCCCTTCTTATCGAACCTCTACACCTCAAAGTCAATAAATTTTCCAAAAATCAGCTTTTTACGTCAAGCGCTTTAAATAACAGGATCGTGAATAATCAATTTTTTGAAACACCCAGTATACATTTTTAAAAAATCTTAAAATATGTAAAAAACAAAATAAAATATACGTGTTTAAGCGTTTTTTTGGAAACTTGACCTTTTTTTAAATAAAAAATATTGTAATATTTGAGGGGTGGTTTCACCCTCTTGAAACTGGAATTTCGAAAAATCCCTTCTTATCGAACCTCTACACCCTAGAATCAACCTGTATGCCAAAATTGAGCTTCTTAATTACGTTGAGTGGTTTGAGCAGGATCGTGATTAATCAGTATGTCAGTCACTTAAGGATTTTATATATTAGTATAGACAAGAAAAAACATATGAAATAACTGTTATGTAAAGGATATATAAGTTAAGATTAAGTAAAAAAACATTATAAGTAAAAAAAATAACTAATAACATATATTTCAATAAGAAAAATAAATAAACATATTATTTCATATAAAAAATGAATATCACCCTATATAGCGCTGAATTAATTAGATTCATGGAGTCTAATCGTTATCGATTAGAGAATAAAAATGAAATCAAAAAATGTAGTCACATTTTGAAGAGGCTGAACATGGGCTGAACGATGTCCAAACAAGAATTTTCAAACAAGCAGACTACATCAAAATAAAATTTTTATTAAAATACACAAATATTAAACAGGTACCGAAGAATGTACAATTTCTTGGACTTTTAGAATATTTAAGTCATGATAGTTAAAAAATGCGATAAAAGTTAATGGAGATAAATATACCCGTACCCGTTACATAATAGAACGAAACTAAAGAGCATTAAAAGTTTAGAAAATTTTCAAAACACGCGCAATATTTTAAACTCTAACTCTGGATAATATCTATAATCACCCTAAAACATATCGAAAACTAAGAATTTTAGATATTATTAGGACAAGAACGCGAAGACGCCATGACGGTTACAAGACTGCAAAAAATGTTAATCGAGATATAATGAAATATAAAGCAAATATTAATTACTCACTTTTTGGAGAGGCTGAGCGATACACAAACAAGAATTTACGAATAAATAGTGTACACAAAACTCACTTTTTATCAAAAATCACAAAACTTGAAAGCCGGCGACCGGCGACGAAGAGATGCAGATCTATCAGCATTCAAAATCAACATGATCAACATGTCCCGATCCAATTTCCGGAAGTCGGGATGACATATGTGACTTGACCAATAAGAAGGAAGTATTTTAAGATAGCAAAAATCACAGCCGTCTTAGTTAAGAGGATAAAGAATAATTTATTTTAAATTTAACCAGTGGACCAAATTACTTAAAACTGGGTCAAATTAATAGGTATTTTACAATAAATGGTTTTGATTTTATTTTTTGAATAAATAAGATATTCTTATTATTTTAATGATTTATCACTTTAAAACATGAGGGTGAATAATTATTAATATACAAATGTATTTCTAAAATTTTATAAAAGGCTATTATGAATGATTTGTAACAGCAAGAGCACTTCAAAAACAGATCTTGGGGCACTCAACTCAATATTTGGTGATACTGTAGGTATGTTCGAAAAAATACGGCGTCAACTAGGCTCGGAAATGACGATAGATAATATTCGCTTTAATTTAGAAAAAAAGTTCTTAATTCTATTGTCAATTACTAGATGCAAAAGTATCTTATTCCTGTAAATTTAAAGACAAAATCAAGTTAAGAATACGAAATAGTCCTTTTATTCCAAATAAAGTTGTAAATAAAAAAAAATACAAGAGGGAATATGAAACAATTACTTGTCAAAAATTAGTATTTAGGCGCGATTCTCACTATAACCCCGCCACCGGCACGTCGAGCGTCGAGTCGCCGGCCTATCCCTACACGAGTCCTGTTATCGATATATCAGATTAAAACCATAGATCAAAACCCATTTTTAAAAATATCGATAGTTTTGAACATCTTTACTAACCTCACTCTTTTGTCTTTTATGTGTATTATCTGTGTGTATTATCTTCTGTGGATTGTTTTGTAATTTGTTGTAAGTTATAAATTCCTTGGTTTTATTATTATTAAATAAACTTTATTAAACATGTCAAAAGCGTGTATTGTATGTGGATCTAAATATAAAAAAGACACTATTTTATCTTTTCATCGGTAAGTGCACAGTACGTGTTTTGAAAACAATTTTATTAGTAGAAATCGTTTTTAGGTTCCCCAAAGGTCCGGAAATACGTAAGAAATGGTTGGATGCCATAGGAATAGAAGATATTAATGTTGGCCCTACAACTTTTGTCTGTTCCAAACATTTTAGAATTGTAGACTTTGCTGATAATATGTATCATTGGCCAAAAAAGATGCTTCTGCCTCACGCTTTTCCTCAACCCAGTGCTTGTTATAAAATACAGAAAAAGAATCTAGGTTAGTTATTATAATATGTTATCTAAGAACTTACTGGGCTTTTATATGAAGTAAATTAATTAATAATTATTAATATACAAATAAGTAAGTATCTCTAAAGTAAAATAACTATTACATTTTTTGTAGGCTCATTAGAAAAATCAGAATCAATTGAAGACACTTTTAAACAAAGTTCTGGTTCGGATGTGGAATCTTATGAGTCTCCTTCAAGTACGAGCACTGATCCTCTTGTCAAAGAGGAATATGGTATGTCATAAGTTCATATAGAAAATTAATATTATTACTAGGGACATTAAATATGAATAACATTGATTTTTATTATGTAGTTTCAATAAATATATTTCTTTTATGATTATCATTTCAAATTTTAGATTTAACAATAGAGGAACCAACAATAAGTGAGGATATAATGCCAACAGTTATTACTATCTGTACAGAACCATGCACTAGTAATGGCACTTATACAAATTCATTCATGCAACGTGATTATAGTAAGTGATTTTTAAAATACCTTATGATCGAATAAAAACGGCGTCAGCGATGGCTATGAAATGAAGATCGCTGTCATTTTATATGTAAATTTATATAGGAAATGTCATCGATCGTCATTTCCAAGCCAACTGGACGCCGTTTTTATTCGATCATACGGTATTTATACTAATAACCAGTATAAATCAAACAGCTATTCTGTTTAAATTTTATATAACTTCTTTGTTGGTTCAAAAAATTTGTTTACAAGTAAACAGCCAACTATTGCCATATTCTGTAAGCCAATAGAGAAGAAATTTCCTGTCTGTTGTATGATATTTTTAGGATATACATTGTTTCCAAAAGCATTGGACGCAAGTATGGAGAAAATAATTATTTTAGTTTCGTCAGAAATTTTGTGAGATGTTGCGTTTGCGTGTTGTCAAACTTTCAATATTCTAGTCAAAATTCAAATATTTTATTTGGTATATGGGGGAGTTTCAAATTTATAAAATTCGATCAAGAATTAAGCTGTGAAAAGTTTTGATTTTCACTATCTTGCGCGCACCATCGTTCTTTTTTCCTCCATTACAATATTCACACGTCAGTCGCATAATAAAAAAAAATCGGCGTCAAAGTTGGCTGGGGAATGACAACCGATGGTAATTTTTAATGTTAATTTAAAAGAATAATGGAGAGTACGTTAAAAGAATAATGGAGAGTGTGTCTGGGGTTTGACCACCCAAATTATCATCGATTGTTACTCCCAGCCGTCTTTGACGCCGTTTTTTTCGATCGTATGAGATCGCTGTTGATGAGGAAGGAGAGACGACTTGAGTAGACATATAGATTGTTTTTATATACTTCTTAACCATGGTAAACCCCACCTAAAAAAAGAAAACATTTACTGGAGAACGGCTATTTTTGTGTAAAAACTAATTTCTTACGAAAAGATACCAATCAAAACAAGAAAATATCATTGACGATGAATTTATGACTGAACGGATACTGAATCGAGACGGACGGCTAAGCCGTCGACGAAGTGAATGTCGTGTGTGAATAAAATGTCCGTTGAAATGAACGGCAACAATATATTTCTATCGAAAATGAGACTGTTTGACGGAAAGGAACTGAGACGTGACTGACATGTGTGAATAGACCTTAACAGTTGTTTGCGGCAAGAATTTAATCTTTTATTTATGTAACGTAACTGCAAGAAATGCTTTTCCAATTTAAAGTTTTCCTCTTTTATATATTTCTCAAGAACGTGATTTCAAGGCCACTCCAGAGCACTGGAAATTAGTAGTAGAATATTTAGAGAAATATCCCATCTTATTAAAATCAAAATTCGAAAAATATTTCGATGGTGATCGCGCAGATGAAGAGGTAATATGGAATGAGTTAGTGAATAAACTAAATTCGTTGGGAATGGGAACGAGATCAGGAGAGAAGTGGCAACAAGTAATTTTTGTCCCATAATTAATCTAACAAAGTTTTAATTATAACAACTTTAATAGACTATTGGGCGGTGGAAATCAAAAATCAAAGCTAAAGCTGCTGCATTGTGGTTGGAAATGGAGAGGAGTGGGGATAACCCGGTTCAGTCTCCACCTCTAACTGATACAGAAGAAAAACTCCTAAATTTATTAGATTGGAAGTCAGTGACGGAGGAGTCTGTAAACATGGAATTAAGACCGGTAAGTTTTAATTAAAATCTATGTTATGTATTTTATGTGTAAATAATTGTAATATAAACATATTATTACATCATGTTTGTAGGTACATAGAATCCTTAAGGATAGAATTAAAAAAATGTTGATTTTATCCTCGACGCCAATGTGAAATTTATATTTTAAAATGCCTGTTTTTTATACTTCTAACTAGTTCATAATTATTGTTGTGTTGGTAAAATGTAGTGCCAGTTTCAGGCTGAAGAGCGTGATTTCAAAACCACTCCAGAGCACTGGAAATTAGTAGTACAATATTTAGAGCAATATCCCATCCTATTAAAATCAAAATTCGAAAAAAATTTTGATCGTAATCGCGCAGATCAAAAGGCAATATGGAATAAGTTGGTGGATCATCTAAATTCGTTGGGAATGGGAACGAGATCAGGGGAAAAGTGGCAACAAGTAATTTTTGCCCCATAACCAATCTAATAAAATTTTAATTATAACAACTTTAATAGGCTATTGGACGCTGGAAATCTAAAATTAAAGCCAAAGCTGCTGCATTTTGGTTGGAAGTGAAGAGGAGTGGGGATAATCTGGTGCAATCTCCACCTCTAACTGATACAGAAGAAAAACTTCTACGTTTATTAGGCTGGAAGTCGATGACGGATAATGAAAACACGGAATTAAGAATAGTAAGTTTTAATCGATGAGTAAATAATTGATTATTTTTTATATTTTTAACTATATTGTCATTTGTGTGTAGAATATAGGTGCAAATGCATTAGCTACACCTGCCAGTTTCAAACTAGAAGAACCTCGGCAAAGCTACTTAGGTAAAGGTAAAAGAATTAATTTATCTGCCAGAGACGAGGTACCATTAAAAAAGAAAAGAAAAATAATATCAAGAAAAGCAAGGCGGCTTGTTTACCAAAACAGAATGCATGGACAGTTAATGAAAAAATTATCGGGTATTGATAAAAATTTGGCTGTTATGGCAGCAGCCATTACAGATATAAGTAATAGTATTAAGAGGGTTGTTGACCATGTTACCAAAAATGGAAATAATTAGATTTGGTTTGATTTTTTAGAAATATTTATTTAGTTTTTTTTTTATTTAATTACAATTATGTAGCGGCAAACTTCAAGATCAATAGTAATACTCATCAAACAAATGTATATGGCACAATTTAAGATATGGGAGAGCAGAAAAATCTTGTGTTGATCAACGTATTTTTGATGAAGATCACGGGTCAAATGTTAATAATAAATTAATCATCAATCTTAAAATTAATTAATCAGGCAATTAGATGCTTATGAGAGCATCAAAATGAATAAATGTAAAGACAGTATGAACCGAGATAGTGGTCCTATTCCTTCTAGTTCTCTGTTCCTATTGCTCTAGTCTCGGTAATTTGTAAATAATAATTTAGTTAACTATTCGACAAACATATATTTTATTTAAATATAATATTAATTGATTGATTTTTTTACTACCTATGTTATGCTGTAGGTTATAATTTTCTATTTCTAAGATACTGTATATACTACATTGCTGAATACTGAATTGAAATATATTTTTGTGATAGTTAGATTTTTCTTTAAATAATGTCTATACCTTTGTGGTGGATTCATGTCTCCAAAAAAGTCTTCTGGGTATTTTGCCATTTGCACTGTAAGCTACAAAAAAATTTACAAAATAAAATAGTTATTTTTTGTAAACACCGCTGCGTTAATCCAACGGAGACCAACTTGTCAGCGATATTTTACTAATAAAACAAATTTGCCTAACAGACAAAAAATGTTTAATGTTTCAGGAAGTATATAGGCAAATGGAAAAAAATTGGCAAATTTGTTTTATTAGTAAAATATCCCTGACAAGTTGGTCTCCGTTGGATTAACGCAGCGGTGTTTACAATAATAACTATTTTATTTTGTAGATTTTCTTACACTGCAAGTGGCGAAGTACGAAGAAGACTTAGTTTTTTCATTGTTACATACTTAGTAGGTTATTTATTTCTGTAACTACCGAAAGTGTGCAATTTTAAAAACTGCCTATAAATTTACACAGGAAACTGCCTTACGTGTGCGTAGGATAAACTTAACATAAAAAATGCGAACTAAAAAATATAACAAAATCTTCTTGAAAGACAAGACATTTCTAGAAATTTACTCTATTGCTTACAGAATTTCGCTGCTAGTGGCCTTTGTGACAATTTACAAAAAATAACTATTTTAAAAATGTATATGTTTAATTTTTAGCAAACTTTCCATTAACACCTAAATATATTGGTAATTTACGGGTAGAACATTTTTCTACTCCTGAACAAACAAAAAGAAGTATTGAATTTATCAAAGATGCGTTTAACAACAAAACTAAAAAAATAAGACTTTTAAGAGTGCAAAAAGACAGACTTGAAAAACGTATTGGGACAATTAAAGTGCTATTCCAAGATATGATTAAAATGAACTTAGTACCACAGGAAGCATATAAGGAGCTAATGGTAAGATTGTTTTTATTGTTTCTTGGATAATTTTAGTCTAATTTTGCTTTGAACTTTTCAGAAACTTTAAAAATTAAGTTCTATTGATGTGTTAGAAAAAACCTTAAGTTTTATATGTGCACAAAGGAGAATTTTGCTTTATTTATTGCATAATAAATGTATTATTACAACCTAATAAATGTATTATTACAACCTAATACATGTATTATTGCAACCTAATAAATGTAATATTATTAGGTATTGTATCTGTATTCCTACTAATTTGTTATATATTTGTAATGACCAAATCAAGGTAAATCTGGACACATAGCCACTAAAAGTGCATAAATCAAAATAAATAATGTTCTCTTTACGCGATAAGTCATTACAATAAATAATTTATTATAATGACTTATCGACAATTATTATTATACAATAATAACAATACACTTAATGACAATTATTGTACAAAAATATAATATATTATATTTATGTATAAATTGACCTTATAGTACATTTGTTACGATAAGTATGAAAGTTTTAATAAATACATTATATATAAAAAATAAGGATAAGAAGTAGTACCTGTTGTGACACTAAAACATTACCCATTTTTTGGTGGTAATTTTGTAGGAAATCTGAAATAAAAAAGATGTAATTAAAATATATTTTCTGTAAAAAAGGATATAAAATAAATAAATAACTGAATGTTATGTGTATAATATTTATATTAAGTTAATTTGGGACACAGAAAAAAAATATTGAATAAATATATTCAATACAAGTTATAAGGTTACAATAAACAAGTTAATAAAAATAATAAATTGAAAATAAATTAGTTAAAAAAGTTAAACTGCATTTATATCCTTCCCAATCCTTCCAAAATTTAACAAACCCTTTTAAGAAACTGGCGAATGCGCCAGTAAAGAGAGACATCTATTAGCAATTACCGTAATTTAAAAATTTACAATTTCAGGCTTATTACGAATTTCAATTTTTAGGATCTTTTAGATCTTTAAGGTAATTATTGACAATTGACATTGACATTTCAGAGATGTTGTGACGTTTTGATTTTTGACATTTTTGATTGTTATTCAATGTTAAAAGGGAAAATATTCTTACTATTGTTTATAATTTAATTTTAATATCTTCAAAACCATGAGCAAAAAGTCGGGTTTAGATATCGAACTTGCACCTTTAAGATCGCTAGACGATTTTCTTTTACAAGGAGCTGTATTTCAACTACCAAATTATAGGGATCTGGGAAAATGGGCCTTCCGAGTCACTAACAATTTATTATATTATCAAACGAATTACTTCTTGTTAGGTCTCGTTATGTTTGTTATTGTTGGGTAAGCTAGGCGACTTATTTTAAGAACCCATTTTCACATTCTTTTTTCTTTTATAGGATTATTCATCCTGTTAAGGTAATATGCGGTGGCTTAGTAATGTTGCTAAGTTTTGGAACATTTATATACATCAATTCTGAAAAGGAATACGCAGCTCAGTTAAAAGTGAAACACCCCATATTGTCTTTGCTCACTATCTTTGTAACATTATGCATCGTAGCATATATGTTCCAAAGTGTTTTGGTGTTCTCTCTCGGAATTTTATTACCAGTGGCAGGTATTAAATTTATACAACTTACTGAAATACAATCATAATGTTTATTTCAATTAATTTTAGTAACATTTATTCATGCCTCATTGAGACTACGAAACATTAAAAATAAATTAGCTAATCAAGTGGAAGGGTTAGGGCTAAAGAAAACCCCAATGGGTCTTTTCCTTGATGAAATGCTGTATGAATAAGGATTTGCTCATACTTGTTTTTTTCAGAGAAATTACTATCACCTCCAAAGATAATTAAACTAAACTCTTGTCAGTTTTAGCTTAAAGCATGTTTAAATCCAGTTTATTTTGTGATAATACTTGTTATTATGTAATAAGCTATATATGTATAATCTTAGTCATAAGTGTTTTTGTATTACTTTAAAAATCTTATTAGCTCATATTGAAATATTTTTAATAAAGTTTTTAAAATTAATTACAATAAAGAATAAAAATAAAATTCAATACCTTATTTATTCCAATTTTCTTGTATTGCTCGGTCAATTACAATAACATAAGTACAATTGACTAGATCAAGTAATAAAATTATCAGTTATTTCAGTAGGTACCAATTATACTGAAATATCACTCTTATATTTGATGGGCGTCGGCCTATACTTTTTCTTCTCGTTATTTATTGTTGGAATAGCAGGTGCATGTAAATATGGACTAGCACTAAACCTATGTCCAGCAATATCGACTTCATATACCGCATTTTTTGAAAGAATGTAATCGTTTGTGACTATCTTATCACCATCTTTAGCGGGTTTCCTAATAAATCCCAAACCAATCAATTTGTTCGCTGAAAATCCAAATCTAAAAGAAGGAAAAGAGTTATAATCATTCTCTAAACTTCAAGTGCAAATATAAGTTTTACTGAATAGAATACAGTTAAACTAATCTAATTTAATGAAAAATTTATACCTATAAGAAAATAAAGCTAATTTATATAAATTAAGTTCTATAACACACTTAATTTATTATGGAAAATTTTCCAATTCTTGAGCAATATATTTTTAAATCATTATTGAAAAATTATAATTAATGAACAACATGCAAGTCAATCTTCTAAAGTTAAAGTAACTAAGAAAAAATTTCACATGGCTAGTTTTTTATACTATAATAATATCTTACTACCCAGCAGATGTGACAGTCCCAACAAATTCATTGTTCCTATACACAGGCTCTCCACCCCAAGGCCATATGTCCACATCTGGATCTATATTATTGAAATGGAAGAACACCAACTGCTTTTGGACACCCTTTTCCTTTTGCCTTTGCAAAGCAGCTTTTCCTATGAAATTTTCTTTCTAAAATGTTAAATTAGCGAAATAATAAATCTCAATTGATACTAAAACTATACTTTCTCTATCTTGACGCTCCAGCCATTGCCAGCTTCAAATGGTGTGGTGAAACTGCTAAGCTCTTCAGCCCAGAATGGGATAAATCTTTCAATTCTCATAAATCTTTGTGTCATAACACCAACGTCTCGAACACCATAGTCTCTCCCAACCTGGTAATATAGGTAATTTATACAGAGTGTGGGATAAAGTTTTCAACAAATGGGAAAACTTTTTATTACCCATTACACTTTTTATTATTTCATTTTGCAGTTTGAATTTTAACTAACTTAGTAATAAAACTTTTCCCATTTGATGTTAATTCTAGCATACCCTGTATAAATAATTTTTCAGTATTCTTTACTAATAAGGCTAATACTTACTGACATTAATTTATAGTATACATGCAAGGCATATTCAGATGGGATGTAGAGGCAATACCCTGGTTCTCCAGTATGTGTAAATGACATAACCATTACGTCTGATGCATATCCTATATTGACTTTCATATAGGAAAAGGGAGCAACATTTAAGTCACTATTTGATAATTCGCTTAATAATTTTACTGCCTTGGGCCCAACAACATTTAGTACAGTATACATTGAAGTGACGTCATTTAAATGAACAGCAGCTTTGAATGGCAAATTTCTCTTCATCCATTCATAAACCCTGGTTTGCTGACTTGTAGGAGAAACCATAAAATAACTTAAAAGTAAGGGATATTTTAGAATAGATTATTCCTAGTTGACGGACTTTTCTTATTGGCGTTACCTGTTAGGAGACTGCCTAACAAGCATACAATCATTCTCGTAACCACCTCTAACATTCTGCATACCAGTGTGAACAATGGAGCCTACAGGAATATCTATATCATTCGAACATATTCTTTGAAGATATTCTACTACCTCATTCCCTGATGACTTAAAAAAATAAAAGTATATATGTCGGCGTCAAATCTCATATCAGATTGTCTTTCAGGAATACAAATGCAAGGGTCCATGGTAAAAACTTGATAAACGCCAATTTCTTAATTTTAGGATTTTACAATGTTTTAGTAGGTCTAACTGGTTCCTACAATATGTATAAAATATGCAGGGCAATAAGTTGGTTAAATCCTATGATATATGCCTAGTAAAAATAAAGAATACACGGAAAGAACCTGATAACCGCCAGACGTCCAGTGCTCTACTGTAAAATTAGCAAAATCGCGCTTATCATGTTTTTCCGCTGGACCCTTCATATGTAAAACATATGTTTATCTAAGAATTTTTATTCTTAATCTCAGTGTAAGAGCAATAGGGTCAAGAGTAAAAAAAAATAATCAACTACATTCTCACTCACTTTATGGTTGTTATACCCTTGTTATACCTTAATTTCAACTTTAGAGAAAGATGACATGTCTATAATTCCAACTCCTTCTATGCACGCAACATATTCCTCCTTCATGAAATCAAAGAAGTGCGGCTTAAAAAATGTACCCTGGGGCATTTCTCGTTTTGGTTCACCTCCTAAAGAAGAGAATATCAAGAGCTAACGTTAAATTGGCAAAAAATGTGTAAAAAATTACTTTTATAAGTAGAATCAAAATACAAAGCTCGTTCGTACGCCATTTTGATGCCAAAAACGGCTCCTCTAGTTTCTAAAACGCTGTATAATGGAGAACATCTTAATTCCCTTGCGTATTTATATTCACACTGAAATGGATACAGTATTGAATAGTGCCTAAGACAAATTTAAGATTGGAATGAAAAGAAATTAACTGACGATTATAAAAACAACATACTTGCCTACAATTTCTTTGATTCTTTGTTTTAAATAATGCCTACCATTATGCACATTTAAAAATCTCTGTAGGATAAAAGGCAGCAAGTCTTGTTTTGGCTCTCCTTCAATTATCCAGTCTGCTACCGCTTTACCTATGCCACCTGCGCCCTAAAGGAAACATTTTACAACAGTGATATTGAAACACCATATACCTAACTCAAAAAAAAAAACGGCGTCTAGCTCGCTTGGAAATGACGATCAATGATATTCTTCATATAATTTAAGGATTTAAGGAAGGAGTCTAATTCTATTTTTACAGTAATGTAAAAATAGAATTAGACAATTTAACAACAAGAATTAGAAAAATTTTTACATTAATTTATTAGTGTTATCTTTAAGTTTAAAAACTTTTAAATCTATTTATAATAATCTTTAGGAAATTATTTACTTTTATTAGAAATATGTTTATTTAACAATTTTAACAAAATAATTAGAATGTCAAAACCGCAATTTAAGTCAATCATATTGAAGTATCATTGCTGAATATATTTTTTATATAATTATATATTTCTTATATATTACTTTATTATTTCTTATATTATTAAATTTTATGAATAAACTGACAGCGATCTTCACTTGTAAGCTAAATATGACGCCGTTTATTTCGATCATACAGTGTAATGATTATAATTAAAATATTACTTGAAGTGAATTGCCATTCATTCCACATGCCACAAAGTAATTTTTTACTTCTGGCGCTTCACCTAAAATCCACCTTCCATCGGGAGTGAAGTTATCAGGAGAATTGACGACTTTGGGACTGGAACAACTTTTTAAAATAGGAAAACGAGACACTGCATTTTCCCAAAGGGGTTCTATAAAATAAGAACATACAAATACATAAGTACATCTCAATAAAATCATTAGCAATTAATTTATTACAGTAATCCAATTTCTATAAACCGTTCATTTATACCACACAATCGAAAAAAACAAGCGTCAAAGATGGTCGAGAACTGACAATCAATAACAATTTTGTTGAGGTCAACCCCTAGACGTCATTTACTTGGCCCGTACCACAGACTCCCATACTCCTTTAATTTTAAATAGCACTAAATGCCAGTTGGCCTTAAGAAGGTTGTAATTTATTTTTATATTGAGTAAAAATATTTTTTTGGAAATAGATTTGTGTGTCTGGAAACGTTTTCTATCCTTTTCTAATCTTTCTACAATTATGTTGACCAGTTTTATGGCAATTTTTAGTAAACGATGCTACAGATTGACCTCGCCAAAATGATCATTCATTATCATTCCTAAACCGTCTGTGACCCCGTTTTTTTCGATCATACGGTATTATATTTTATGAAGTGAACTTTATGTAATAAACATTCTTACCAATATGTTTTAAATCTACATTAATATGTTTTTCCCAGTCTTTAGGCACTTTGCCTTTCTCAAAAGCCGGTTTAGCTTCTGGCTCAAACCAACCAATCATTAAACCATTGTTATACTCTCTTGCGTAAGTGTGGCTATCATAGTCTCTTACTATAGGAAGGGTTTCATTCATTTTCTGTGATAATGTACCTATATAATTAAAACAGATTATTTTTTTGGATATTATATTGATATAATTTTCAAACCTGTCACAGCATAAAAGTGCTCAGCTGGATAAGCTGGAATACGAACTTTCGGATTACATTGTAGTCCTAACTCCCTAGCCCACATTCCGGCACAGTTTATAAAGTATTCGCAGTTAATAACGCCTAAAATAGACAAGAAATATTTTATTAGAAATTACAAAATGCTAGGACCCAGTTAAAAGTATATAATTTTATTTTCACACCTTTGTCAGTCTCGACTCCGTAGACACAAGAATTATTTGTAAAAACTTGTTGCACGGTCGTATTTTCAATATAGGTTGCTCCACCTTGTCGGGCCAATAAAGCCAAAACATCGCAAATAGATTTGGGATCAATAACAGCATCTTCAGGAACATAAACTGCACCTGGATAAAACAAAACATAAAAACCGGTAAGAATTATGCCGTATTATAATAATTAATTGTATATAACAAAAAAATGACAGCTATCTTCATTTCCAAACAATCTCCGACATTTTTTTCAATCATATGGTACATTGACCCTTGAATTTGATAAACATAAATTACAAGAAAGAATATTTACCTTCTATATCATCCGTTTTAATATAAGGATGTAGTTCTTGTACTTCTTTACGATTAAGAAATACACAATTTAAACCTGATGGAGTATTATATGCAACTCTTCTTTTGAGAGCAATGAGCCGGTCTTTGGTTTGGGCAAGATTTAAGCTTCCACACTGTCTCATTCCAACATCGTAACCCATATTTTGTAACTCTTTATACAAACTGATGCTATACCTTAATAAGAAATAGATAACAACATTTATTAAGCAGAATAATTAAGCAAAGGTCTTACCAAATGACATTTCGATGAGCTATTGGTTTAAAAAGGCCCAAAATTCCTGAACCGAAATGAGAAGACCCGCTACCAATTTTATCCTGTTCAACTACGACGACGTCTTTCCAACCACTTTTAACCAAATGATATGCCACTGAATTAGCTACCACTCCAGCGCCGGCTATTACAACTTGAGCTTGCGAGGGAAAATTATTAGTCGAGTATTCTTGAATTCTGGATAAACTGGGTAACGTCTTTGTACCACAGTGTCTTAAGTAACATTGCAATAACATTATTACTAATTATCACTTTGTTTAATACTGTTATTTAAGAGAACTTTTTGTTACATATTATTTTAAATATATATTTAAACGACATAGAATTTATAGCGCACACTTTCGTGCAGTTGGATGTTAAGTTTTTTCATCGGCCTTTTTGTTTATGAAATCAAATTATTCCAAAAATAGAAAAATAACATATATATAGACCTATATTGTTTTCTACAGATCAAGAATTTAAAGGTTAGAATTTTATTATGACATTTTATTATTTAAAAAACACGAGAGGGAGATAAGAGATAAGTGATATGTTCGAAACAAGGATAAAACCAATTTTTTCAGAGGGACATTTCTATATGCAACCAGATATACAGAGTCTTAGAGAACAACATTACGGGGGAGCGTCAAATAGTAATCCTGATTAAAAAAAATGTGATTTTGAGATACCATTTATTGAAAAAGAATGAGTTACATTTATATTACAACCTTTCATCAGGTACATGAACGTAAAAAAAAACAGTTTTAAACAGTAATTTCGTCAGTAAAACGACTTTTATCATCTAAATTAATAACAATAGAATGCGTTCTTGCGTGACCCGACATTAAATGCCTGCCGTTACTGTCAGTACTAGTTTTCTTTTTATCACTTTTTGGATATGTCGTTGAGCTAGTTTGATCAATATCCGTCTCACTCATTTTTTTAGACGTTTCGGATTTGTCGTTATCGCTTTTCTTATCGACGCCGTTGAGAGGTGTGCCGTTGGAGTTCTTCTCGATGTTGGCTTCGCTGCTAGCCTTTTTCTCTTTGCTAAATGAGATGCTTTCGCGTTGGATTTCAATAAAGGACTCGTCCTGAAGTTCTATGACTGATTTGTCGCCAGATAGAGACACACTGCTGTTGCTTCTTATGATGAAAGACGATTTTTCGTTTTCGTTTTCATTTTCGATGTCGATTTCGTTGTCGGTGTCACACATCCGAGCTGCGTCCTGCATTGCGTTGATTTTCGAAGCTAAATGCCTGTTCCCAACGCGCATATTCCTTTCTTTTAATAGTTCGAGTTGGGTGTAAAGTCTTAGGAACTCTTCTTGAATATCTTGTTCGGAGTATTTTGAGTAAATTATTTCCTGTCCCGCCACAGACGAGTTTCCGCTCGAGTATAGGCATGGCTCTTTACGTCTTCCCAGCAGGAACTTCGATGGCGTCTTATATACCATGCTCGAACTATCTTCCTGTTGTTTTCCTTTGTTTTTGATAACCATTATTAGCTATAAAAAGAAAATTTGTATAAGAGATACTATTTATCTGCAAAAATACTTTATACAACCTCTCAAAAAATAAATACTCCTTTTTTTTATTAAACACGAAACAGAAAAATAAATATATATTTTCTAAAGGAATCCTTTCTGCTCAAAGCTTGTTTTATATATTTCTTGGAGAATTTTTAGATTCGAATGTAATTTAAATTACACACTCCAAAGTCTGAGGGTTATTGTTACATCTTTAGGGTAACAGGTAGAATATTTGAATATCTAATGAAACGGAAGTAGTTCAAAAGACTCTTGTCCTGCAAGATTATCTCAAAAGCTGCTTGATCTAGATAGAATAAATAGTTCTATTAAAAAAATTACAATAAATTAGTAAATTTGATTTTCACTTTATGTGGAAACTTGCATTTCAGATTAAAATTGAATTAGATATTTAAAACTAGCGTATATTTGAATTTTCAATTATGAACTGTGCCTATATTTAAATTTGCATAATTAAGATAAAAAATTAGAATTAAAATTAGGTTATTAAATTAAATTAAATGAATTCAAATAAGATTAGAATTAAAATAGAATTATTAATTGAAATAAGAATTAAATTATATATTTATTTGAGAAATTAACATAGGCAAAATTCACTTTAGTTTAGATCTTGTTAAATTTACTTAGACACAGGACAAAATTTATTGTGCTAATAATAAGTAAGTAATCATTTTGAAAATAGATAAAAAAGAAAGATATAATTTACTATAATAACTATCTATACAGGGCGAGTCTTAAATAAGTGCGAATTTTCAGGGCTGGTAGATCTCGATAAAAGAAATATATTTTCTCTTTATGGTTTTTCAAATAACTCCAAAATAACGGAGTTATTTTATTTTGAAAATTCCAAAAAAAAAATGATTTTTTATTTAAATTTTAAGCAGATTTTTCTTTCTTGTAAATTTAATCTACTCCCTATATTGCTATATTATCAAGAAATTGATTGTTTTTTAACTAAAATCTAAAAAAAAATCCAAAATTTTTTTCGAAAAATTCTAAATTTTCAAAATTTTTTTTGCGGAAAAAACCTCCTAATCGTGTTTCTGGGGTCGAAATATAACACCCCTAAAAATATTTGCATATATTTAAGACTCATCCTGTATATCTCATTTATAAGACTGTATAAAAATATATCCAGTATGTTCATATGGTCCTATACAGGGTGTCCCAGAAATAAGTGCAAGTATTTTAAGGGGTGGTAGATCTCGAAAAAAGAAACATATTTTCTCTCTATCGTTTTTCAAATAAGTCCAAAATAACGGAGTTATTTTACTTTGAAAATTTCCAAAAAAAAATATTTTTTCCTAAAATTTTGAGAACCATTGGATCTTTTCTGGATTTTCTTTCTTGTAAATTTAATCTAATACTTATGTTGCCATATTATCAAGAAATTATGTTTTTTAAATAAAAACTAAAAAAAAATCCAAAAAATTTCGAATTTTCAAAATTTTTTTTTCGCGAAAAAAACCTCAGGCGTGTTTCTGGGGTTGAACTATACTACCAGTTAAAATACTTGCACTTATTTCTAGGACACCCTGTATAATAAGGATAATACTAAATAGTATATGATAATAAATAAAATAAGAAATCAGTTATTATTTTCGTCTTTTATAAGTGCAGTATAAAACTAATTATGTTTACCACTTAATTATTAGCTCTTTTTATATTTTCTATTAAATTTTGATAAACTGGAAAATGTATATAAATTTAACACCGAAAATTGGTAAGCGAAATGCCCCATGCGAGGTCTTAAGAAACTAAATAGTCTGGCAGAGACAGAATGATGTAACGTTAATCTCTATACTAGACTACACCAGGCTCAAGGGAAATGAAATGGCTCATGCTCTATAAACTGCTCTTGGGGTCACTAAAATACAACACTATCTCGTATATAAAAAGGAAGTACTGTCGCATATATAAAGCGCATAGTTCTAAGCCAGTAATATTGTTGTTTCCTCAAAGTAAATTCTTGTAAAAGTTTCCTCAGCTACAGACTTAAGGAGAAAGATAAATTTAACGAAGCCGCACACCTCAAGAACGATATTTCATCAAAGGTATCTTTTGTAATTGTGCATTCTGCATGAAAGCGAGCTTAAAATAGTTAAGTACATAGGAACTCTCATTGTGAAACCACGATATCGTTAAGAGATTTAAACGTTTCTACAGGATGTTAGGGACTAGACAAGGCAGGACTAATGCACATGTCATATTAAACGAAAAATAAATTGAATTACATAAATGGCTGTGTATATAGGTAATCTCATCTACCCTTGTTAAATTTAGATTTGTATAGTTTAAATTTGTATATCTTGTTAATGTCTTTATTACAAGACCTTCGCATACCTTTCGAAATCGACCTTTTGCTATATAATTGTGAACGTGGGCCAATAATGTCGGATTTAATTGAAGTAATATATTTAAAGGGGATTGTTCTCTGGAGTATCTTAATTTTAGATAGTCTAGGGCACGCATAATTGTTTGGAAGTTTATTGAAGGACGGAAAACTTATTTCTGCCTTAAGAAATTACATACTTTGGCATTATGTACTTGCAATTTGAGGTATTGAGAAGTCCCATAACATCTTCTAACCGTACAATTACTAAGATTACATTCGGATTTATTTTATGCTAACATGGTTAACAAGTGTTTTGGTGTATTGTGATGAATTAGCGTTTTATTTTACTCGTACAATTACTATTGTAAGATTAAGTTATTATTGTATTACTGCCAGTGGCGGATCCACGTGGGGGGCCTCAGGGGCTCAAGCACCCCCCTCTCTCTCCACGAGGTTCAGTCATATAATTCTATATTATTAATTTATTATGTCAGAAACGACTCCGATGTATGTACTTTGAGTAAAGTTTTGTGTTTTTCTTTAATTACTACTGGCTTAGAGACAAACCGGATAGACATTTTATTTTAGTTTTAACCATTTCTAATGTCTATTTTCACTTGAAGGGAACGGTTATACTGTACCTTGCTTCCAAATATTAGTACCAGCAATAAAGTAACACTTAATTGAGTATGAACGAAATAGATGATGTACATCAAATCCGGATTGGCTGGTTTCCTTAGGAAAAATCTGAAAAAGAACATTCGACTTTAATTAAAAGTGTATCGATAGCTTTAATAAAGTTTAAGTAAAGAAAATCTAGGAAATAGGGGAGTCCAATTCGAGCTTCCGCTTTTATTTTGCCCTGCTCTCTTTCAAGCCCTCGCGTTAGCTTGTTTTTCTTTTCTGAGCAAATTGCAGGTATCAAAAGTTTCGAACTATGCAGATTTGATACTTCAACGTTACTCTAGAATATGCACTTTTAATAAATTTAACTAACTAGATGAAAAACGATAGGAAGTTAAACAAAGAGATTTTACTGTAGATTTTTTTTAAGATATCAAATATTCGGTCAGGAAAGTTATCGGAAATAAAAATAATAAAAAATAAGGTGTTCCAAAAAAACATGTGCCATCTTTCCTCACCTAAAAATAATATTTATTTTTCATATCAGCATAGGTTCGATCCTGCTTTGTTTTGTAGCTACAGAGTGTTAAAGTTCTTTTTTTTCATTTATTATAATTTTTTTTAAGTGCACATTTTGACACACAGCTACTATAAGTATACATATTTTAATGATATAAAAGTGTCGATAGATTCACCAGGGATGTTCATATGGGTTATCACGGGAATATGTTTCTAAAAAATGTACACCATTGAGTTTTCTCTCTAATTAACACAATAATTGTGTAGGCCGTTTAATGTCGATTAAAACTTGTTTCTTAATATTGTGTCGATTTCAATCTCCTTGATGACATAAAAGCAATTTTATTAATCTGCCTTAATGCAAACCTTTAAATTTTTTTAATGTCATTAACTGACCAAAGTGTTAAATAAGTATTCATTGATTCCTTATCAAAAAAAAAAATGAAAAAAAGTTCCTATAAACATGGGTGCAGGTCCTTTAAACAAATGCATAGTTCTAAAGATACAGGATCTTAAACCTTTATAAAAGTTTTTTGTAATTATCTTAAGTACCATTATTTTTTTAAATTTTCTGTAGATAGCATTGAACATAAGTGTAACAAATTTTAATAAAGTTGAATAATAAATTAGATTGAATAAATAAAATTTATTATTATTTTTTATTTTAATTCTATTAATTGAGATTAATAAAATTGCGTTTATCTCATCAAGGAAATCGAAATCGACAAAATATCAAGAGACAACTTTTAATCGGCATTAAACAGCCTAAAAATTATGGCAACAAAAGAAAAAAAAATCAGGGGGTACATGTTTTTTTTTAGAAAATTATTCTAGTGGTAACCTGTATACTTAAAGTAACTTTGAGCTTTAAAATGTCATTCGAATCGCTATAGGTTCTTGGAAGGAAATTATAATAAATCAAAAAAAAGAAGACCTATGTTGGTATGAAAAACAAATCCTTTATTTTTACGTGAGAAAACTTTATTTTTACGTGAGGAATCTCCGCACAAGATATGGCACATGCTTTTTGATACTCTCTGTATAACAGAAAATAATCAGTGGTTCTCAGAATTTAAGTGAAAAAATATTTTGTTTTATTTTTCAAAGTAAAATAACTAGTCTATTTGGGATTTATTTGAAAAACGGCAAAGCGAAAATATGTTATACAGCCCTGGAAAATATATGCGCTTATTTAAAACTTACCCTGTATATACATAGAACATACCGCCGTCACTGCTTATATTCCACGTTTGAATCGGCTACGGGAGCAGGGTTAATCATGTTTGTAAACGCATGTAATCTCCTTAGTTCCGCTCAGCGCAGTTTTACAGAGCATTGCAAAGCAAACGGTTACATTTAGTGATTTAGCGTTTCAATAGTAATTTTAGATTTTTTTTATATTATTAGCTGGCTAGATTACTTTTAGATGTGTGAACAGGGATAAACTATATATTTTAATTGCAGTGTCAGTTGTTTTGGCTAGTAAAAATATTATAATTTTTTAAGTATTAAAGATAATAAAAATGATTTGTTCATAAAAACCTTTAGTTATTGACCCTTTATTACTTAAGTACGAAAGATTCTAACTTTACTTATACAGTAACACAAATAAGAAAAGCTAATTTTGATTTTTGCTTCTGAATGCACACAATGCTGCTGCTTAACTTAGCGGTTGCCCAATCAAATACCTTACAATGCCTGCATTGCTAAACTTCAGTGACGTATAGAAATTGGTGTATTAGTTCAGGTGTACGGTTTGATACCTAACCACAATTGATTATATGTTAGAACTAGATTATACGGTCAATAATGCCGAGAACTTGGAATTAACTTCATTAAGTCAATTAATTTAGAGGTCGAATATTTTCAGCAATTAATTTCTTTATCGAACAGAGCAAAAAAATCTATTATAATTTTGGAAAAAGACATTCAAAAAGGTGTGCCTTCTTCCTATATTTCCTTTGCTTTTAAAAATTAAATTTAGTGCAACAAGTAAAATATACTCACGTAGTAACATTTAAGAAGAGCCCGAGAATGAATTCATTGTAAACTGCCATGGAAATGAATCTGCTCTCGTTGAATTCGGAAGGTGCCTTTCTTACCACCACGCAGAGTCTAACGCCCCATGACAAAAAGGTAATTTCCGCTAGAACAAGACAAATTAGTTAATTAGTTTTACTAATTACTTATAGGAGTGAATTCTAAAACCCAATCAATTGAAATAAAATGCATTTTAGTTAAAGACTAATAAAACTATCAATACATTTTAATATTGTTAATGCGCGTTCGTAGTGATGAGCGAGACTGATCTTTTTTTCCATAATAAGGATCCGTCCTCTGTGGTAAACACTGACGTATATCGACTATATTTTCAGTTAGAATGGGTCAATATTGAAGAAGTATTAGTCTTCAATGTCTTGTTCGTCAAAGATTGAACGAGTCGTTTACTTGAACGAGTATTAATCGTGAGATCGATTCACCGTTTAGAATACGGTTCGTTCAATTAAGTCGTAAGAATTGAATCGGATTACAATGCGACTCGTTCATTCCTATGGTTCGTTCATTCAATAAATCGTGAGAATTGATTCATTACCTATATTACTGTTCGTTTGAAAAAATAATATTAGAATTATATACTATTAGTTTGGATACCCAAACGGTTTGTATTTTAGGTATAAATTGCAATGATATATAGATCAGTAATTATTACTTTAGTAATAAAATTTTATGTTCTATTTATACTAACTGTATACATTAGTAATAAAATAAACTGTAATTTAACGCCATCAAAATACTAGGGATGTAAAAGTTATTTACAAAAAATACCGATTTATATTGTGATACGTAAAATGTGTACTTAGTTTGTTCAAATGAACGAAAAGAGTCGATTCATTATGAGAAATTGAATAGTGTGATTCGATTCGCTGAAAAGAATCGTAATGCCCATCTCTAGAACTTATATTAAAGCAAAGGAAATTTATATGTTCTAAAATAATAATTTAACGCTTATCTTGTTCTAAAATAAACTCTAGTAAAGAAACATAATATAAGCTACGGGGGAACTATAAATTTTGTTTTTATTTTTACTCAAACTATGGTTCACATTGGAAGGATAAAATTAAATTACATTTTCCTGAAAATTTTTCGTATTATTACAAAATTTAACTTTATATAAAATATAGTTCTGGTTAACACATATTTTAAAACTTTTTGTGTTATATATCCCAACTAAATTAGATTCTAAACAGCAACAATAAATTAAATTAAAGTAAGGCTTGTAAAGCAATATAAAATAGTTCCGAAACTCCTACCACCTTGAATAAATAACCACCTAGAATAAATAACAACAAACAAAAATAGTTTAAGCCCATAACCCAATTTATACTCTAAATGGAGTCATAATATTCTGAGTATAAAATTAATTTTCTACTAAATTTACTTAAATGACTATGCAGTTTATGCATGTTAAAAGAAACAACTGTGCTTTATATAAGATAAAATGTGGTATTAAATAAAATTATCACAAAAGAAATTAGTAATACTAATAAAAATAGAAGATCCAGACCAATCCAATTTTTTTGTCCACAGTCACAAAACCTATTTGTTTCGTGTTTATTCTTATAGAAATCATAAATCTTTCTTCAAGAGAATACCAATGCAACATATCAAAATAAATGAATAGGGAGGACTTCTGTCGAAACAATAGGTTATATGTATGGATTTCAGTGAAAATTCTGCTGACATACAAATATATTGCCTATATATTGTATGTACGTACATACATTTTTCTAAAATGGTTCAGATGAAAGGGCCATTTTGTATCTTTCGAATAAAATAGAAATTTAATATAAAAAGAATTGTTTGTTTTCTCATTTATTACTTAAAATATCAAATTTAACAAACATCCAAGAGCAACAAGTTAAATTTCTTTTTGTATCCAATCTAATTTGAAGAAAAAACTAATTACTACACTGATTAATAAAAATATATCTCATATGATGCAGATTTTATCTGTGATACATACTACAAGGTCCGGGAATACAGGGCTGGCGAGCGTGCAGTGCGTGCACGCACGTAGGCGCAACATTTTGGGGGCGCAAAATCAAAGTGTCAATCAGTACTTTGTAACAAAAAACCGATACGCTTTCTTGTTAATAAACAAATACTTAAACATACATCATAGGATAAAGTTTGCTTAGAGTCTTTTTTTGCGTTGGCCGCACCGAATAAACAAGTCTAGGGCAATCTGTCGGCAACACTTTGATCTCATCTATTTATTTTTCATTTTATTCATTTTATGGAAAGCACTGTTCATTAACATGTTGTATCCTATGTTATAGGACTTGTTTTTCTCTACAATTTTCTGTCTCACAATATACCGTTTGTGTCCGGGAAGGGTTCATAGTTTCATAGTTGTCGATTTTCGAAAAAAATCAGTACATGCATATTATTTCCGATTTTTAGTTTATTGTTTTTATGTATTTCATATAAAATGGGCCAGTTTTTTTCTTTAGAGTACTATTTTTGTTACTAAATATTTTTGTGGTTTTGTTTGTTTTCTTTATTTAATAAATGTTTTTATACTTTAATTAGGATAGTTTTTTTACATTTCCAAGTACATATTGCTCGTTTGTCGCAGAATATAAATTTTTTAAATTTTTGAAATTAAGATTAAAATATATAATTGATTTAAATATAAAAAGGGCGCACCAAAGTAGGCGCCAGATACCCCAGGAACGGACCTGCGGCAATAGTGCTTCAGGCATCTGTAGCTCCTAGAATAAAAAACTTGGGAGTTTTCTTTAAGTGCAAATCTAAAGTATGTTCTAGGATGTATTTCAGGAAAATATTTTAACTTCTATATAGGGTAGCTCAAAAAAGTGTGAGTGGATAGGGATGTTTTTTTAATGAAATACTTTGTATCTTATTGCATAATACTCTGTATCTTATTGCATTTTTGGCTTCTTTTCAGATCAGTTTGACACAAGGCTGAAAAATATTAATTTTTTAGCCTTTCTTAAAAAAATATTAAAAATACAAGAACTGTCCTGAAATCAAAACTATATTAGGTATTTACTTTAGATGGTTTGTACTTATACTTTGCCATAAATATGGTAATCGTAAATCATACAAGATGATTTCACGCCAAACTTTCTAAAATATAAAATAATTTTCCATTTTTTTTTTGAATGGGACATATAATATATAATTTTTTTAATTGATGGAGAATTAAAAAATGAACATTTTTTGTACGCAGACTATTTTAAAATTTTTAACGGTTGCGCAGATATTAGCGGTTTCATATTTCATATGGCATTTTCCAATAGTAAGTTTTTATTTTTGTATTTTACCGTTATGAAATAATACTGCGTGTATCTGCGAAACCATTAAAAATTTTGAAATACTTTAAATACAAAAAATGTTCATTTTTTTATTTCTCCATCTAATAAAAAAATAATATACAGGGTGTTCCATTTAAAAAAAAAGAAAATTTATTTTATATTTTAGAAAGTTTGGCGTACAATTTTGAACACCTTGTATGATTTAAAATTACGATATTTATAATAAAGTTAAGTATAAACCATCGTTTCGTCTACCCGGCCTGGGTCGCAGCTCCTCGACTGTGAGGGACACGGGTCTCCGTAGGAAGTCCTGGGACTGTATGATGAGTTATAACTCAAGAAAGGGGGACACAATAGATCTCTAAGGTCGCAGAGATTACCCCCCCACTTATTCTAAATTCTAATTCTAAGTATAAACCATCTAAAGTAAATACCTAATATAGTTTTGATTTCAGGACAGTTCTTGTATTTTTAATAATTTTTTTAAGAAAGGCTGAAAAATATATATTTTTATTTATTTGTTAATATCTCTGAAATTATCGAAATATATTTACTCATATCTGAGGATTACGTAAAGTGATCAGAAAGGAAGCCAAAAATCCAATAATATAAAGGGTGTTCTATTTAAAAAACATCATACCGATCCACTCACAATTTTTTGAGCCACCCTATAGAAGTTAAAATATTTTCCTGAAAGACATACTTATCAAAAAATAACTTTAGGTTTACAATTAAACAAAAATTCCCAAGTTTTTTTATTTCTACAGATGCATATACGTATTACTTTTTACAAATATACTCAGGGTTCCCTATTTAACCCCGTGTGCAATTTCTGTGCCGTAAGAAAAAGACAACATAACCCAGCTCCATATTAAAACTGCATAAGTCTATTTCACCCGGATATGGATTGAACTGAGATTGCGCCAAACTCCGATTGATTGTTGTTTTAGTTCTGTTTGGATTACTTTTTATTTGTGCGCGTAAAAGAGTGATTTTGTTTAGTTTATTGTTTCCAACTATTTTTTGATATTTTTCCAAGTCCATGATAATGTGTTATAAATAATAAAAATATAAATAAAATTGAAGGTTAGGGGAAATGTCAGTCAACCACTTCCCTTTAAAAACATCGACCAATGAAAACTTCTTCAGGTGAGGCATGCTCAGTTAAATGAATATCCGGGTGAAATAGACTTATGCAGAATTCCATATTGTTCTTTCACTGTTTGGGCTTCATTTTTTGGAGATTAGGCTGAGTATATTTGTAAAAAGTAATACGTATATGTACAGATGCCCGACGCACTATTGCCGGACCCTGTATAAAACTAATTATAACTAACATATATCATTAATTAATTTTGTTAAGATCTAGCAGGCTTTAACACGTAAGCATTTTATTTTGGCTTCGTGCATAGAGGTATTTTTGTTCAAGAATGTTAGTGTAGTTAGTTCCGCGTGTACAAAAGCTAGAGGTGAACAGAAATCCGCGGATTTACATCAAAGAGTATGTTCTAGACGAAACTTAACCCTGCCGTCATTCATGTAGATTTTTTTCTGATATTTTTCAACATTTTTTTAAATAAGGGAATAGAAAATACGTTGCTTTGGTGAATGTACAACTCAAAGCAGTAATTAAACCCTCGAAATTCTCGTTTTAGTACATACAGGTATGCGTATATTAGTTTAGCTCTAATTAAAGGGGAATAAAAAAAGACATATGAGTTTTTGCTCTAATGGCAAATAGTGACAGAAATTCATCAACAAATTTTTGACGTAAAACTCCATGTTTTCTGTTCTCCACTAATGG